CACACACATACACAAAAAAACACCACCAGAAACTGCAGATAATAGTTCTGGTTAGTTGGTTGGTTGGTGCATGACGTACAGTATAATCCTATGCATATTTACTCTGAATTCAGTAGAACTTATTTCTATGGGGCATCTTCCCAGGTAAATGTGTATAGAGTTGCAGCCTATTTACTGTTACTATTATTAATAATAAATTAATTAATTAATTAAATTTGTAAACTGCCCTTCATCCAAAGATCACAGGGCTGTTCAAATCATAAATATGCAAATATACAAAACTAACCTTGAGTGGACTTCAATAGAGCTACTCTATTTACAAGAGGGTAATACATCAATTTGAGATTATGCTCAAATATTCTCCCCCTTCCCTATAAACTGTGGCACATGCAAAGCTGGAAAGGTGTGCTATAATTGAATCCAAAGCGCCATCTGCTGGCTCCTGAAACAGTTACATCTGAGTGCTTTCTTACTTGGAAAAGGAACTCTAAAAGTTCAGAAGGACAAATTTCTGATAAAAGAACCTACTTGCAGCCCTGTACCCGCTATAGCCTGGAAATTCCAAGAAGGCAAAATCACTGTAATTTTGAAAAGTTCAGTCTGCCACCTAGACTCTAAATGGTGCCTGGTTGTATCACAGCACAGACAAAAGCCTGCTCCTTGATCCTGGGAACCATCATACAAAATTTGGTTACGATATCTTAAGAGGTGTCTAAATGCATAGCCAATGAAGGCTTCGCTTTCCAAAATTTGAATGCATGCACGTATGGTAGACAGAAGGGCCGCAGGTGGCGCTGTGGCGGGAAGATAAATGGTGTTTCCATGTGCTGCTCTGGTTTGCCAGAAGCAGCTTAGTCATGCTGGCCACATGACCCGGAAGCTGTACGCCGGCTCCCTCGGCCAATAAAGCAAGATGTGACTGGACCTAATGGTCAGGGGTCCCTTTACCCTTTATGGTAGACAGAAGAAGCAGACAATAGGTGCTGATACCAGACATTTCCTCTCCCACCTCCCCAATGCCCATGAATAGAATTTGCTAACATTTATTTCCTACTGATTTTCTATATTTACACCCCACTCTGTCTTAGTAGCACATGTTGGAGTACCTGCCCAGGGTGAAGCAACTTGCTTCATGCAGAACCATGGGACGGAGGGGAAGTAGAAGAAGAGAGATGCTCTGTCTTAGTGGCTCATCAAGTCTTTCTAAGTGTTGGGCCTGACAGGGAAGGGAGCATCATTTGGCTCTGCTTTACTCAGAAAAATAGCTTGGGCTGGAACATGTCTGTCCACAAATGGCTTGATCTCAGAAATGATCTCAGAATTGCATTAGGATGGCAGTAGGAAGCAAAGAAGGAAAATCTAAACAATAGTATGGTTGCAAAAGTAGACTTATTAATGGCATCTGCCTGGTGGGTGCTTTACCTGTAAGTAGAGTTCAGGCACCTTTCTCATCAGTGGGCTTCCAGCAGCTATTTTTATATGCAAGTAACCAAATCTCAATAGTATAAATCTCCTTACTTCCCCCAACTTGTTGGTTTCTCTTTCTCCTCTCTAGAGCTGGCTTTCTACAAGGTGCTTGCAACTAGGAAGGGAGGGGGGATTTGATCCAGTTCACATTTAAAGGTGAACTCACCAAATTCACATTTTATGAAACAATGCGTGAACTGAAACAGAGCTATCTGAATTTTGTAATGGAGTTTTCCAGTCAAGTAATGTGCACGAAATTGCAAATATTGGGGCAAAGTGTGCAAAGATATACATATATCAGTGAAAATAAAATACAAAGATGCATTATATTGGGGAAAACAGCTTTGTAAAGATGTGTATAGTGGGTTTTATTATTTTTTGCTATAATCTGTATTTAGTTTACCAATAAATTCTGATTTGACTTGATTAGGTAGGTAGGAGAAATTTGAACAAAAAAACTGATTGAATTTCCTGAGGGCACTTAAAAATAAATCATTCACAAAATGATATAGGAAGGTAAAGAACTGAACTTATGATTGGAAAAATGAGAAGCTGAGAAACCAAAACTGACATATCTGCCCACCCCATTTACAACCCCAATATATTTCAACTATGTCCCCACTCCAGCTAATACATTCCCTTTCTTGTGTACTTGAGGCCAGGGGTGCTGATCAGATCCCAGCCTCACAAAACGGCTCAGGAAGGGTGGCATGAGGAGGACGCCATGCGCCCTTTGATCGCAGCCTCACTGAGGGGCTGGGATGGAAGGGCGCATGGCTAGTGCATGCTTCTCATGTCGCCCTCCAGGGACCCCGAGGGGCTGGCTTAGGGAGAGTGGGGCAGGGAGGGCTCAAGAGCCAGGCTGCGGTCAAAGGGTGTTGCTCCAGCAGCAAGGGCCAGGCTGGTGCCACCCATACAACGCCCCTCCTTTGAGGCAGCTATGGCAAGTGAAATGGGGGGGGGCACTTGTCCCTGTGCAGCCCTGTGCCACCTACTTTTTCTTCCAGTTGGGCCAACAGTAGGGCAGCATGGATGTAGCAAACCCAAAAATGCCTTATCTTCTGAGTTTTCGCCAATAAAACTCAGAAACGAGAGGAGTTAGGTGTCCAACGTTCTTGCAAAGCAATAGGTTACAATGGGATAGCTCCACAAAGGTTGCAATCCCACCCAGTGGTCCAGGCAGCAGTATTTATAAAGTTTCAAACAAAGCATTTCAATTTCCACCAGTCATATACAGTACATCATTACCTCATTGATAGACCAATCATATGCATAAAAGTATTTCTCATTACCTCATTCCAAGTTATGGACTTGTGCACAACATTGGCTAATTCTGCTGACTAGGCTCTGATTCCCACCCTGTTCCATGGCCTTCACATGAATGCACTGCGTTACATAAAGTTTTTTGTGTGCATGTTGTAGCAACTTGTCTTTTAGCTTTTGTGCTGTATCTTGTGATTTACGTACAGCGGAACCTCATGTTATGGACGGGATCCGTTCCGGAGGCCTGTCCATAACAGGGAACTGACGCAAGCAGAAGCACTACGTCGGCACATGTAAGTCTGCACATGTTAGCACTTCTGCACATGCGTGAGCAGCAAAACCCAGAAGAAACCCATTTCGGTACTTCCGGGTTGCCTCAGGATGCAACACAAAAACACATAACCAGAAGCAGACGCAACATGAGGTATGACTGCATTAGCAGTTTTCCTGCCCCCAATGAGGACGGCACATGTTGCAAAATTATCAGTTTCATAAAGTAACAGGCTACCATAAGTTCTCAATTAGAAGCACACTCAAGGATTTACAGGGGTACACATTATCACATTTATTGTGGCCCTTTGGGCCACTCCCACATGGAGACTGGTGCCCTCAGCAGGCCCATTATTTTCACTTAATATTTTCCTGCTGCCATCACTCCCCTTAACCAAAAATAAAGCTCTTGACCGGCATAGGACTCTACCTCTCTTTCACAAATGGCAAGTGCACAAGTAGAGAAGGCAATGCATGAAATAATTTTTAAAATCCAAAGAAAACCAGCCCTAGAACTCCCTCTCACTCACAGTTTTCATAAAAGGTCCTCCACCAAAAAAGGATGGAGTAGCCACATCAGGTGGAATCAGCCACCCAACGACACCAGTTCATTCCTTCTTGTGATGGCAGTTGGCCTCACTGGCTGCTGCGCTTCTCCTGGGGAAGTTTCGTTCTAAGAGACCCTGCAAGGGATACAGCCACAGCTGGAGGAACGGGCAATTAAGACAGATCTAGTCCCAGGCCTTTCAAGTGATCTTGAGGGTGCAAGTTCTGGAAGCCCTGCTCTCTGCCATGCAAACCTTTATCTACCTGACCTGGGGGGACGGGGCCAGACTGACTCCAGATACAAAAGCTGACTCTTGGGCTGGAACATTCTTTAGCTGGTTTTGTTGGGGGGGTTGTTGTCATTATTGATATTAATTTCTTGTCTATTTTTAAATTGTATTACAATTTATGGGGAAATTTGTTGCACACTTTTTGATGTGTTTAATTTATAGCTTATGACTACTTTTGCAATTATGTAAATCTTCTCACATTGTAAGCCACCTTGACCAATGCTATTTTTCTAGAAGAAGAGGCGCCAGAACTCATCATGAACGCCTCCCCTGTTCTCTTAGAATGGCAATGGCGCCCACTTGAGAGGTGCCAGAACTGAATTCTGGTGAGTTCCAGTTGGGGGAAAAACACCCTGGTTTGAACTAGGGAAAGGTGGCATACAAATAAGATGGTGATGAAAGAATCGCACAAGACCAGCAATAATTGTTTGTTTGTTTATTTATTTTCTGTGGCAGATGACTTAATTTCAAGCCACAAGGCAGCTGTGGTTTCCCTCCATTTAAAGAGACAAAGTTTTGTCACTTTCCTGAAGTGCTGGCAGAGCCGCAAGTGGCTGGTCAGCACTGTGTCCTGGACCACTGGCCCAAGGGGATGAGTTCCTGAGCGGCAGAGAGACTCCTCCAGCTTGGCTCACCAAGTGTTTTTTGGCCTATCCCCAGTGGCACTCGTAACATAAAGCAGACTTGCTGAATCCCAACGACACCAGTTCATTCCTTCTTGTGAGAGTCGGTAGCCTAAGGACCCTAAAGGAAGTAGTGGAGATTCAACTCCTTTAATAATAATAATAAAAAGCAACCCAAAAATTGTTTGAACCACCAGGCAGTTGCAAATAGGGGCACCATATGGGGCAAGCAGCCTCCCCCCCAAAAAAAAAATTTCAAGGAGGGAGCCAGGCCCCCTCAATATTCTGTGGCAACGTGCACACACCATGTGACATGCTCATGTCAAACACATAAACCGCCCTTCTCTCGACTTCTATTTTATGCCCACGTTTCTGTAGGTCTTTTAGAATAATTAGGGAATACTCTTTAACTAAGGTGTGTATGTATTGTAAATTTGCTACCTGCTACTACTGTAACTGCTGTCTAAAGCAGCATTTTAATATATTCTGTCACTCCTGTTTTATATAATAAACCAACCTTTCTTTCTTTCTTTCTTTCTTTGTGTGAGAGTTTCTTGTGGGGATAAAGTTAAGGGTTAACACCTCCATAAGAAGCGCACGCCATAACTCCAGCAAAAGAATGGAAACCTCTCAGCAATATGTATATGAACACACTGGCTGTGCACATGGGAGTCCAAGTACACACTCGTAACAGAATGACGCTGGTTATCTGGATCTGTTTTTCAGAAACAGCACTTTCAGGAGCAAGTGTTGAGAGGGAGTGAATGTGCAGAAAAAACATAGTTTGGAGCCTCAATCCAGATCAGAAGCCTGTTCCAGATCAGAGGCCAGGAGCTATGGTACTTTTCATTCTAAAGAAAAAGGAGCCAGTTTAAAAGACCCCTTAAAGGTGTGGTTTGTCCTTAGAACTATCCTCCTTCGCTCAATCTCCAACTGCCTGAAATGTAAAACTTTCCACAAATTAAATTTCTATTGTTAATAACTTAAAATGTTGCAGGGGAAATCCTGAGAAATGACTGCTAAGTTTTGGTAGCAGACTTCTTTAAGATTCTGGACACATCACGGGTGAGAAAAATAATAAACGGACAGAAGCAAACAGAGATAAAACATAATGAAATTCATTTTCTGTACGCACAGCAAGACTGTGATAGACTCGACAGGAAGAGATCCAACAGGAAGATTATGACACAGCCCTTTCACCATCTTCAAATACTTTTTCATCTAATAGGGAGGCACTAGATCATCTTCTCAACAATGGCATTTTTGCTTTTCCTTAAAGTACCTTTTTATGTTAGTGACAGGGAACAGTGGGTGGCTGATCATGGCGTTGGCATCATGCAAGACTTACTGCTGTTCCAATGGCAAAAGGCATCCGTTTTTGTAAGCAACTGGGGTTGTTATCCTAGTCTTCCATTTGAGAGAAGAGTTAAACCACTTAGAAATTCATGCATGCATTCTACAGCTAGGAAACAGCAAGTTAAGGCATCAGTCTAACTTCTATGCAATGTAAACAGGCAACAAATTCACATAATATTGTGCTTACTTACAATTGCGCCTCCAGACACCCACTCTTTCCCTTTTCTTTCCATTCAGTCTCACTGTTCTGCAGGTTGGCCTGCAGAGCTGCCCAATTATTACATAGGTTAGAGCAGGGGTAGGCAACCTAAGGCCCGGAGGCCGGATGCAGCCCAAGCGCCTTCTCAATCCGGCCCACAGACGGTCCGGGAATCAGCGTGTTTTTACATGAGTAGAATGTGTCCTTTTATTTAAGATGCATCTCTGGGTTATTTGGGGGGCATACGGACTCGTTCATATTTTTTTTTCAAAATATAGTCCAGCCCCCCACAAGGTCAGAGGGACGGTGGACCGGCCCATGGCTGAAAAAGGTTTCTGACCCCTGGGTTAGAGGCTCTTCTACAAATCATCCCACCTTCTGAGCTGGGAACATGCATTGTGGTACCCCATCTGTACAGGTACTGCCTGCCTGGCACCAACTGCAATGTTTTCAAGTGTGATGAAAATACCCTTTTATTTGCCCAGGCCTCACATCCACCCCAAGCCAAACTGGGGCCAGCAAGTGCACCATCCCACCTAGAGGACCCTGTCTTAGCTAAACACAGACAATAAACCCAAACAAAACATATTGTAGTTTGTAGCATACAATGACTCTTCCTAACAGTAGAATTACAAAACTGTTGCTTGTGTATCAAATATGAAACCTGCAATGTTCACATCAAGGAGAATGCTCCCAGAAACAGGTCTAAATTCCTCCTGTTCCTGGGAGCGAGTTATGACCCATAACCCAGGCAGGACATAAAAGAACCACTGGCCAGGATAGGGGAAAGTGTAGAGTTCCTTCTAGCACATACCTGGCATTTGGATTGGGAAACTGCTCTAAGCAGATGTTGTAGCTGACACTGAAACCCTGCTCTCCACCCTCCTATAGAGTTATATGACATCTGGGTGCACACAAAATCATCAGATATGCCTGGGAATGCTTGAGTCCCCACTCACCCCAGTCTCCAAAACCAAGAACTTCTACAAGGTCAACACTCACCTTCTTCCTCAGACTGCATCTTCTTCTGTGACGGACAGGGGAGGCTATAGCAACCTCACTGGTGATCCTGTCTGCTTTGGAGATTGGAGGGACACTCTCTTCTATACAGTGGTACCTCGCAAGACGAATGCCTCGCAAGACGGAAAACTCACAAAACGAAAGGGTTTTTGGTTTTTTGAGTTGCTTCGCAAGACGATTTTCCCTATGGGCTTGCTTCGCAAGACGGAAACGTCTTGCAAGTTTGTTTCCTTTTTCTTAAAACCATTAATACAGTTGCGACTTGACTTCGAGGAGCAACTCATAGCACGCGGTGTGGTAGCCTTTTTTGAGGTTTTTGAAGACTTTGGTGATTTTTGAAGCTTTTCCAAAACTTTTCCGACACCGTGCTTCGCAAGACGGAAAAAACCGCAAGATGAAAAATCTTGCGGAACGAATTAATTTCGTCTTGCAAGGCACCATTGTCGTGGTGATCTCTGCCGCTTTGTGCCCTAACTCAAACTTACTATTACTATGTATTCATTTTTAATAGTAAATGCCAAACTCTGGTGCCTTGGAGAAGAATCACTGAAACCACCTGCTACCCACAATGCACTATAGTACATGTTCTCTTTTTTGTAATCTTTTAAGATGTGGCAGACACAGCCAGGACACACCAGTGCCTAGTCCCAGAAGCACAGCCCAATTCTGACAATCATATTGCAGTCTTTGCTTCCTCAAAGTAGCATCCAAGTCAGACAAGATATGGAAAGAGAACTGACTACTGCTTCTGACAGCAGGTGCCTCAGAATATCAAAATATATCAAAAGTGGATGACGGATGAACACTTCAGTGGATTAGGGCCGACACAGGCAAATAGAAAAAGCAAAGTGCAACTGGCGCTTTTCAGGGTGGTCTATGCATGTATGCAATGCAGAAGCAGCCGTGCTTTTCCCTCCACCCATCACACGGAGCATACACGTACATCACAACCAGCAATATTTTGAATGCACTGCTTAGGTCCCCACCCATGTACTGTGTGGGTTTGAACTGTTGTTGTTGTTTTTCCAGTAGAGGAAGAGGTAATGGAAGAACCCCACATGCAGCAAAGTTTAATAGAAAAGCAGATGTTGACAAGGCAAAGCAGAAGACTCCCAAGAAACCAAGGGGACATCTTTTGCACAAGCAGAGCTCCAGATTACACTGTGTAAGGCATGGCAAGAGAAACACAGCCATAATCTGACTAGGCCTAGTGGAAGCATTTCTAGCAGAGCTCCTCTCCATCAGGATGTTGTCAGCGGCTCCTGGATGGTTGCTCAGGAAAGTATAAGTATAAAAGTTTCTTACTGTCCTGTTTTATTTCAGTCTTTACAGAGAGAGGCTATAGAACCCAGCCTCTTGGATAATGGCATTGTCCTGAGTGATTTCCCCCACACACACCCATCTCTCCCACTTCCTCATTCATCTCCTATACAAGTACTGCTACATGCCCTCTGTCTTTGAGCTCTTTGCTCTCCTACTTTTAAGGCTCGCCAGGTTCTGGGAGAGGAAGGGTCTGGAATGCTTTCTAAAGACACCGTGTCAGCCAGGTGTTGTTCTGGCTCTCCGATTATTTCCCAGCTTTCCCCCTCATCTGCCTCTGAGCTGTGACCTCCCTCAAACCCCTGCTGTTAATCTATATTGTCTTCCTCTTCCTCCTCCCTGGAAAGGTCAGGATGGGGAGGCGGTCTCCACCATTCCTTCTCTGCCCAGTCCCAGACACTCTCCCTGTGAATAACTTGACACAGAACTGGCTCCATTGGGTGGGAGTCCTTTAACTGTTGAGCAGGATGAGAAGCAAGGCATAGCCAGGCAGAGGCTCAGTTAAAGTGGCAATGTAACAAGGGCAGCTCCAGCTTTCTCATGAGAGTTGTTCATGCATCTCTAAGGCTTATGGCATCCCGCTGATGCTGCAACTAAGATTCCAGTGCCTTCTACCACCTGCCCAACCACATCTGGACTTAATGGAACATTGGTTCCCTTCAAAAAGCAGCATTTGGAGTGTACTGGAAAAGGAATTACCATGAAACTTGCAATACAATTAGCAATTTACTAAAAATTAGCCTTTTAAAATAAAACAGTGTCTATATTATGAACAAAATACAATTTAGAGGAACTAATCATATGGCTATACTGTACAAAGTGTTCTGTTTACAGGATCCTCTGGAGACAAAACATTACAATATTTCCTAGGGACGCAGGTGGCGTTATGGTCTAAACCACAGAGCATCTTGGGCTTGCCGATCGTAAGGTGGGCAGTTCAAATCCGCACGACAGGGTGAGCTCCCATTGCTCTGTCCCAGCTTCTGTCCATCTAGCAATTTGATAGCATACCAGCACAAAATAGATAAATAGGTACCATTGCAGCAGGAAGGTAAATGCCATTTCCGTGCACTCTGCTTTCCACCATGGTGTCCTGTTGCACCAGAAGTGGTTTAGTCATGCTGGCCACATGACCTGGAAAGCTGTCTGTGGAGAAACGCTGGCTCCCTTGGCCTGAAAGTGGAGATAAGTACTGCACCCCATAGTCAAATTTGACTGGACTTAACTGTCCAGGGGTACTTTACCTTAACAACATTTATGCCATATCTAATGTGCTTATAAAGCTGTACAGATTTCAAATCCTCCATTTTTGCTAGGCCAGTCCATTCCAAAGAACATTTCTTCCTGATGTCAGAGAAAGGGCCAAATCAGACAAGACAATATTCACACAATTGACAGTTTCACTTTTTAAAAGCCATCCACATTTTTCCTAATGGCAAGAGCGGCTTCTCATCTGTTCTGGCCCTAGGTTGCAATCTTATACTTTTCTGGGAACAAAGACCACCAAATAACAGGACTTAGTTCTGAACAAACACGCATGGTAGTACCCTGGAATATGAATGCCCTAGTTGTTCCAGTATCACATATGTAAAGATGAAGTATTGTCCATCTTGTTCTAATTAAAAGGTTATAGGACTGTTGAAACAACCAAGACTAAAAAAAAACAAGCAATTGCTAGCCTGTGAGGTACTAACATAGATGAGGTTAAATTTCATGCAAGTTGCTCATGAACCTTGAAATTCAGATCTCTGAACTGAGGCTCTGCTGCCCCAGACTAAGGCAGGCAAGACTTTTTAAAGGAATAAAGGAGGAAATAAGCAAGTGACAGCCAAAAAGGGCTTTGCCAATCTGCATATCCAAGGTTGCTATGAAACCAGAGAACATCTGCCGTGAAATCAGGCACTGAAAGAGGTGAGAGGTGGGCGCAGGGCAGGTTTAACCACATTCACGACCCATTGCACTATTACAGCCTTAGCTGCTAATTGACCAAGCAACGCAGGCAAAACCTTAGTTCTCGTCATCCTTTTCAGTCACTGAAATACATCAGATTCTTACAACTTTTCACGTACTTGCAGTGGTGTGAAAGGCAGACATGAGAACTGACCCAAAGAACAGCCATTTCAGCCATAAAGAGAGGAGGGGAAGAGAAGAGTCTGGTAAAGAACTTCTACTGAACTGATCAGCAGATACTTTGATTGAACCAGACATTCAGTTTTAACACTGTATTACAAAGAATTTAATTTTTAACAGACCAGCCATAAAATGTGCTTTGTGAAAGTTTCAGAAGATAAAATATTTAGGGTCCAGAAGCACAAAAATATCCAACTTAAAAACATTAGAAAAGATGTCAAAATAGCAACCACCACAAATATTCCATTTTTCATGTTGTGATTGAAGTCCAAACATGTAATAGCTTCTTTCTTTCTTTCTTTTTCCAAGTAAAAGTAGAGTGGCTGTTGAAATGTGTTCATCATTCTTAATAAGAGAGTTGATGCTGAACTTTCTTTTGTGACAAGGCAATTTTTTAAAAAATGCCTTCTTCTATTGGCATTTTATTTCAAAGTCTTGACTGCCAATCTCTTTAATTGTCAGAAAAGTCCCCTATATTCAGGCCTTGGCACAACTGCACTGCTTTACAAACTAGACCAAAAAGAGCAAGAAGTTCTCCTGCTGAAGTTCTATGGAAATGAATGAGAGCTGTGCAAGAGCACTGTCTTCTTGCAGTGCTTCTTCACACAAGGCACTTTCCTGAGCAGACTGCACCCTTGCTGTTTAAACAGATGATGAAAAAAGAAAACAGATAAATGAAACCTGAATCAATAGTGGCAAAGCGATTATTATATACTTACATTTCCCTGAACAGACTGAAGCTTTTGCATAGATGCTGCCTGGTCACTGTCCTTCCTAATGAACAAAATGGATACCAGCAAATGGTTACTAATAAGCAGACCTTGATTCCCTATGATCAGAGGACTGTTCCAAAAGAATGTCTCCGAAGAACGCAAACAGGCCACAACACAGCAAATGTAGAACAATGTAAAGCAGCGCACATTGGGACCAAACATCTTAGCTTCACAAATAGCACCAATGTGGTCCCAAACTTGCAGTAATCTATCAGAAAAGAATACAGTGGTACCTTGGTTCTCGAACAGCCTAGTTCATGAACAACTTAGAACCCAAACGTTGCAAACCCGGAAGTGAGCGTTCCAGTTGTCGAAAAAATTTTGCAAGTTTTTTTTAAAAAAATAATTTTATTGAACATAACAACATAATATTTTAACAATAAAACGTATTATCCAAAAAAAATTCCACTAACTTTTTTTTCTCACCCCCCCCCAAAATACCCCCCTCCCCCCCCTGGACTTCCCTCAGCTCCTCTCTCTGGTTTTTCCAAACTTATAATTCTCTGCATATTGTAAAACTGTAAAGATCCTTAACTTATCTGTTTATGTGTTATTAATAATAAATTTGTGAGTGTTTATTCAAAACCTGCCAAGGAGTCCAATTCTAATTATTTTATTTTATTTTATTTTATTTTATTTTATTTTATTATTTTATTTTATTTTATTTTATTTTATTTGAAGTTTAACGTATCCTGAGCTTCCGTTTTTAGTGTTGCATTTCCATTTTTTGAGAAATCATGCTGCTTGGGCCAGCGAGGAAAAGCATCCTGGCAGCGCTCTGAAGCCCAGCCATGAGAGAGGGAGAGAGATCAAAATATTGCACTGATTGGGGCAGTAGGGAAAAGCATTTTAGGGATAGTTTTTCAACAACCTGGAACGGATTAATCCATTTTGCATTACTTTCTATGGTAAAGAATGCCTTGGTTTTGGAATGTTTTGGTTTTGGAACAGACTTCCGGGACAGATTAAGTTCGAGAATCAAGGTACAGAACCACTGTAACAGAATTGTAGACTTAACAAAAGCAACAGAGAGCTGCCCTCGGACCTGATCCAGCCATTCCTGAAAACCTACCGTATTTTTCGCTCTATAAGACGCACCAGACCACAAGACGCACCTAGTTTTTGGAGGAGGAAAACAAGAAAAAAAATATTCTGAATCTCAGAAGCCAGAACAGCAAGAGGGATCGCTGCGCAGTGAAAGCAGCAATCCCGCTTGCTGTTCTGGCTTCTGGGATAGCTGTGCAGCCTGCATTCGCTCCATAAGACGCACACACATTTCCCCTTACTTTTTAGGAGGGAAAAAGCGAGTCTTATAGAGCAAAAAATACGGTATTCTCTCAGTTTCCTGCTTCATGGCAACTAACCACAGAGCATGCCACACATTCCACATTGGCCAAGCATCAAATCTGATGCTCAAAGGGACTTGAAGATCTGCATGTCAAGATAAAATTGGGACAAAGAAAAATGACGACAGGAGGGAATGGCACAGAAAAACAGTCCCTTTAAATTTCACCTGGCATGCCAAAGGGGTGAGAAAATTATAAAGAAGAGCTCTGTTGGAGCAGACCAAAGCCCCATCTAGTCCAGCGTTGTTTTCACAGTGACTGGCCAGAATGAATGAATGGGGAAGACTGTGTGCATGCGAATGAATGGCCCTCGATTCTGAAAAGGTTGACCCTGCACTAAATGCACACTGAAAAACTTTCAGCATCCAAAACCTGAGGTGAAATACTACAACATTTTACTAGAAGTATTTGTTTTCAGTTCTTTTCTACTAGATCAGTTTCCTTATGGTACCGCATGTAGTCAACATTCTCTTTGCTCCAACATTTTCCTGCCCTCCCTCCCTGGCTCACGCTTATTGAGTGTAGCTCAATTTCTAATTGTCCCACCCTTTTGTGGTTTCCAGAAAATGTTTCTGCCCATGATTTATCCATTCTTCTTGCTCAGCATACACCCTACTACAAAACCAGCATTTAAACATTTGTTTTGATGCTTCCACTATTGACGAATCCACCTCCTTGCAGTTATTTTTGTGCACCTTCTTTTGTGTCATTCTGTTGTTTCACTTGAGATGATCTATCAAAAGTCTGAAAAGTCAGTCTTTTATAATGTCGTTTCACACTGAGACAACTAATAGTTCTTTCTGATAAAACTGCTTTCAGGACATTGCCTTTGTACTTATTGATAACCTTCATGATACTAATTATTTCTGGTGAATCAACATCAGGGTGGTTTAAGACAACTACTGGCTGGTTACGATGAGGGCATTTTATTAGTTGATCACTTTTGAATGCTACAAGCCTAAGGCATCTCATGAGAGTGGGCACCACTTTAAGGAAGCGTTCCTCTTGAGCTGTGAGTCTCTTCTGGGGCAAAGTGTTTGCAGGATGTGCTCGCTTAGCTTTGTTCTGGGGCTCTTCACCTTTCATGGCCCTTTTGCTTAGCCCACTTGGGCTGCTGCCTTTTTGACATGACAACATACCATTTTGTTGGCTGATACTTGGCACAGAACTAAAAGAGTGGCAAGTGTGACTATGTGACACACAGAGATTTCTAGAAACCTCATTAACTTCATTCTCAGCTGGCAAAGTTGGACCTTTGTCAAGTATGGCAGAAACACAGCAAGGAACTGGCCTTGGCATAAACATTTTGTTGCAATATCGAGAAGGGGAAGGTGACATTTCATCACCATTTTGTTTTTCAGTTGGGGCCTCAGAACTACTGCAGTTTAGCACTCTCAGTACAGTTCCTTGAGGAATGAAAGCCGGAGAAACAGTGTTTGTTTTTGTAATCACCCTGGTTTTGGTTTTAGCCTCTTTAAGTGTTTCCAATGGTTGTTCTTGCTTATTAGAACACTCATTAGAAAAAGTGGTGCCCTTTGGTCTCCAAGGAGAAGGCACAAGCTCTTGTTCAGATATCATATTTGAGCTAGTTTTTTCACTCTTTTTTTCTGGCAATAACACTTTCTCCTTAGAGGCTTGGCTGTTACTGTGTCTTAATGAAGCAGCTAATTGAGATTTCACATTCGATTCAACAGCAGACATCAGCTGAGCAATCTTTCTGCGCAACAACGATGTGGACCTTTTCTTCTGTAATGTATCATCCCACTTAATTCCTTCCGGGATATTTACAGCGCCAGAGCTGAGGGAAAACACAGATGAGATCACCGGACCATCTACTGAATCACCTTCATATTTTATACTGTGTGCTTCCACTTCCATATTATCTTTCTTTCTTTTCACATTAATTCCATTTATTACACCTAAGACGTTCTCAGACTCCTCTGAAGCTAGAGGTTTATTCTGCTGTGACACTGCAGCTCTTTCAAAAGGGTGAAACAAATGGGAATCAAACAAATGTGTTTTTGCAGCTACTCTAAGCTCATTCCACTGTTCTTCTTTGGCATTGGTTAAAGTGAAGCGCATGTTACCGAATACTGAGGAAGGCGGTAAACTATTGTTTTTCTGGACAGTAGCTAACAAATCATTTTGGGACTTGTTCTTATCTTCGGAAGAGGGAGCCACTAGGCATATGGCTGGATCTGAACTGGAAGTTATATGTTTATTTTCTGAACATTTTCTCTTTTGAAAGAGTTCTGGGCAATTTGTTTTTTCAGAAGAAAACTCTGCTAAAGGTTGTATAAGATCATATTCTCTCTGTGTGTTTTCTTTGCAAATAGCATTTTCCTCCGGGGTATTTATCAAGCTGCAGTTCAAAGTAGTAGAACTGGCAGAATGCAGACAGTTCTTGTCATTCTCGTTATCTAAAGCACAGGATTCAAGCGTTGGGGGCACACAGTTATTTACTGTTTTTTCTTCTTGTTCTGCACACTGGTTTCCAGATTCTACTTTTTTATATTTCATAGCTTCAGAGGTAGTTCCTTTCGGAGGAATGAGTTTAAGAATCAACTGCTGTGTACCATTATTTCTTTTAATTTCTACTATTTGTGCCAAACAATTATGTGGAACACAAAATTTGGCAGGTGCAACCACTGTTAATGGCATTCCAGGTGTTATAGGCCCTTTTTTTGGAGAATAAACTTCAACTTCCATCAATATATCTTCATTTTTATGGATTCTGACATCAGATAGTTTATTTACATTTTTATCTTGTATGAAGGCTGTACTTTGACTACATTCATCATAAACTGATGGTGAATCAATTTCAGGTATTTCATCTTTAATCCCACAAATCTGAGATAAACGTGAAGGTGTGACCTTCAGAGAAGCTTCCAGGACATGTTTCTTCCACTCCAAATTATGCTCTGGTGAACAATTTCGTTTTTGATCAACTTTTGCAACTGAAATCATTTCTTGCTTCTCAGTTGCGTGTAATCTTTTTGTGTGTTTGACAATATAATCATGCCTAACTGCACCATAGTCACAGTATTTGCACTGGTATGGAAATCTCCCAGTATGTTTCACTAAATGCCTTTGGAATTCCCCTTTGGTGTAAGACACCCAATCGCACTGGGAACAAATAAATTTGATCTTTTCATGTTGAGCTACATGTTTCTTATGTTGTAAGAGATCCTTTGTGGAAAATCGGCATTTGTCACAATAATATTTGTCTGGCTGAAAGTTTTTTACTTTGAAGGCTCTTTGAGACTTACTGGGGGACATTTTCTCTTGGGCTTCAGTGTCCTGCAGTGCAACTGCAGGCACAATCTGAAAATTGAGAGTGGACAGCACACTCAACGGGCACTTGCTACAGACATGGTAGTCATCTTCAATATCTTGGCATTTCTGCTGATGCAACTGTAGTGCCAAAATGTCTTGCACACATCTACACTTAATACAACTTATTGGATACAATTCACTTCCCTCAGCTTCTTTATATGCAAATTTGCAGTTTTCATCATTTGCCTTTATTGTATTTGCTTTATCAACTTTTGTTTGCTTTGGCAATGTAGTCAATGACCGAGGCCCTTTGTTCCCTTGGCTGGCAGTTAATATTGGTAAGACTTTTCTTGTTTTCTTCAGCTGCATTTCAAAAGCCGATCTTGCACCGATTCACCTGCTTCAGATGTCATAGCCGCTCACATGTGACGTTCGTCCCAAAGCTGCTGCAAAGGAAGCATATGAAGAAGCGTTTCTAAGTAAGTATATACAACTCCTCACATTTTAATTCAACAACAATACTCACTCGCAAGCACTTTGCATGGAAATAAGTCCCATGGATTTCAATGGAAAATCCTTCCAAGTAAGCGTGCTTGGATCAGTCTTTAAAAACTGTTGTATGAACATAGGGCTCTTCCTTATGATTGGGAACCCTGTTTGGATTTTTTTTTTTAATGAATTGCTTCCCATGAAGCATCCTGAAGCAATTAATAATAAATAAATATATAAGCACCATTTCAAATTGTATACAGATGCAGGCAGAAATAAGAATCTCCACTTAATACATGAGCATGCCCATATATATCTTCTGCAGTCTTCTCCAAGTCTTTGGCATGGTTTAAGATACAAATCGGGGGTGGGACTGTGGCTTGGATCCAGAGGTCCTGCCAAGCAAACTATGGATGGGTTGTTGCCCATTTCCCCCCTATGGGCAGCCCTGTTTTCCCCTAAAAGCATTCTGGAAGGCACCCTAACTCACTGAAGCAAGTTTGCAGGTGAAATGGAGGAGGGTGTAGACTGGGATGGGGAGGTCTTTGATACACACCCACCCCACAAGCAGAAGTGTCTTTTGTTAACATGGCAAGGTCTTCAAATTCAGCTAATTCAAAGGTCTGCAAAATTTCTGCTGAAATTCTGCTTTAGTATTACTGTGAATGTGCTGTGCAGAAAGGGAACTGACACTCAGCAGTAACATATTCAAATTAGGAACATTAAATAAACTTGTGCAAGTCTGCCAGTGTATTCTTGAAGCCCATCCTATGCATGTTTACACAGATCCTTCCAAGTTCATTTGGTCTTACGTGTGTAAGACTGCAGCTTCAAAAGTTGAGGAAAGGACCAAATGATAATTGTATCTGGTCATAGTGACAGAAAATAAAGTTTTGTCATATTATTGAAGCACAATACTGAAGCCAAAGAATGAAGTATTTTGAATATAAAGCCAAATTAGATACATCTCCATGAAGCCACCAAGAAAATAATAGGTGTAAACACCCCCCCCCCATTCCAAAGATATGAAATAATCATTTGCCCTGGATGTGATGCGTGTTAGGATATTTCCGTTCCACCTTAAAAGGGAGCAGGCTGTGAGTCACAGAGTCTGCGTATTTCCTGTTCACAGGATGTTTATGTTTTCTGTTGCTTTCGTTTCTCTCTCTGTGTCGTAGACACTAAAGCAGGCAGTCATGTTTTTCTGTGTTCTGATCAACGCTGAATAAACTTGTAAATAATGCTCTCCTGAGTGCAACTTTTGGCTGTGCATTATCTGCTGATAGAGTGTGCATGAGCTCTGGAATGTGACAAGATATTTTCTAGAAACTCATGTCACTAATTGATGATACTGCGTGCCTACGGGAGATCGATGGATCGTCCGGCAGACGGCTTGGGGCCATGATGGACTTTGTCTCCCTGGCAGTATCCCAACAACAGGTTTCGGGCCCAGATTCACGGCACTTACAGGAGAGTAAGACTGTGACAGACTGCGTTGAGGTATGTGGGAAAAGCGAAAGTGAGGCTTTTCTGTTTGCCGCGGCAAGGGCTTCAGATGTCTGGCTGGCCTAATTGGTCTGGGAGCCGAGCCAAGCAGACTTCGTGATTAATGGGAGCCAAGATAAGGAGTCTCTGAAGTGAAATAGGGCTCAAGGCTCAAGTAAAAAGCTGGAATGGAGTTTTTCCAAGCTTCTGAGGCTGCTGAGTGCCCAAAGTTAAATCGGCACAATTATAAAACCTGGGCTGTGTGGTGTGAGAGTTTGCTGCGTCAGTTTGGAGTGTGGCATACTGTGTGTGAGGCCCCTCCAGTTCCTCTGACAGATAGATGGAAGGCCCAAGATTTAAGGGCGATAGACATAATAGTCTTGTCCGTCTCTCTGGAGGAAATTAAAACGCTTGTTGGCAACACCACTGCACGTAAGATGTGGAATGCTTTGAAAGTAGCCCATCTGCCAGTCATCCCAGCCCAGACTTTGACTGCATCGGAGGTCCTGGCTGTTTCCCAGAATGCGAGTGAATGCAGGGATGCCGAGGGCACCGGTTGCAAGCTGCAGGGGGAGCTGACTGTCACGTCATCCCAGGCAGCATTCCAGCCTCCAGGGGAGCCAAGGAGTCGGCAGCTGAGAGCTCTGTTTCTCATGGGAGCCAAGGTCATCGCCTTTGCAGAGGCCGGAAGGGCAAAGGTAAACAGAGGCAGACGCCTGCAGATGGCCAGAAGCAGAGGGAGGGTGAAGAGCCCACGCCAGTGGAAAACAAGGCTTTGTTTGCTGGCACAGCTTCAGGTTTATTGTTGATAAACCTAAAGCCAGGTTTATTGTTGATTCAGGGAGTACCCGCCATGTCTCAAAAGACCGCCATCTCTTTATCTCCTTCAAACCTCAAGAAGGTGAGATCCACCTGGCTGACGGAAAGACATTGCGGATCGCAGGAGAAGGGACTGTGAGACTGGCAAGTCTGCACACTACCATCAAAGATGTACTATATGTTCCAGGTGCTGCAGACAATTTGCTCAGTGTCCCACAGCTTACTGGGCGTGGTTTTGAGATTTCCTTCAAGAGGAGCGTCTGTGTCATCAGAAAAGGCAAAGAGGACATTTTGCATGCAAAGTTTATGGATGGCTTGTTCTGTATAACTTATGATGACAATGGTGCTGTTGTGTCTAATGTTGATTCTTGTTGTGTTGCACAAACTAACAAAGTTCTTCATGCAGGATGCATTCACGATGCACATCGAAGGTTTTGTCACCTCTCTTGGAAGGCACTGGCCAAGATGCCAGAGATGGTTGAGGGTTTGAACATCGAAGCCTGTAAGTTTCACATGAAATGTGTATCTTGTGCAGAGAACAAGGTGAAGGTTGCTCCAAAAGGCAAGGAGTCTAGCAGGCAGGCTTCCAAACCCTACCAGCTAGTGCACGCAGACCTGGTTGGTCCACTTGCGCCCTCTTTGGGTGGAGCAAGGTACTTCATGGTTCTAATTGACTCTTTTTCCAGGTACATTCATGTGTTTATGCTCGAGCAGAAATCGCAAGCGTTTCCGAGTTCAAGGCATTCTGTGCTTGGTTGGAGAATGTTCACGGTAAACGTATTGGCTGTCTGTTTACTGATCGAGGCGGGGAGTTCACTTCTCAGCAGTTTGAAACTTTCCTGACTGAGAAGGGAATCCAGCATGACTTGTCAACGCCTAGATCGCCATGGATGAATGGGCTTGCGGAGCGAGCAAATCAAACGTTGCTGCAAGGAATGAAAACATTGTTGCATGATGCCAATCTCCCTGATAAGTATTGGGGGGAGGCTCTGTCAAATTTTGTTTACACTTTTAATCGCAGATTGTCATCACCTATTGGTTGTACTCCCTATGAGAAGATGTTTGGTAAGAAACCCAACATCAAGCACATGAGAATCTTTGGTTCTGACATGTGGGTACACACCCCACAAAGCAACAAGCTAGGGAAGCGTGGGGCACATGGTTTGTTCACGGGGTACGAAAAAGGTGCATACAGGGTGTGGATGACTGACTCTAAGTCCATTAAGTTCACAAAGAGTGTTGAGTACAATCCTAAGTGGGGGGGAAATGTGGGAATTTTCCAGAGTTACCCAGAGGAGGATGAAGGTGATGTGAAGAAAGCAGATAATGTTGAGGAAGCTGAGGAAGCTGAGGATGATGATGATGATGATGATCAGAGTTCGGATTCCAGTTCAGTGGGCGGCGCTGCTGCTGGTGTCAGTGACAGTGATGACACAGCAGACTACAAGAGCGCAAAGGCCTCAGTCAGACCATCTGATGCGTCTGACAATGATCTGGAAGAACCACTGTTCACCATTGGTCATTTTTCTCCTAAGAAGGAGGAGATGAGTCCAGAAGACTTGCGTCTAGTACGCAGATCTGAAAGAGCGACCAAGGGCAGACCTCCAAAGAGATTTGCTGATGAGTTTGCTAAGACAGCAACTGCTGTTCTTAGAAGCTCAGAGAAGGTATGGGAACCTTCAAGCTTCAAAGAGGTTCAGGAGTTAACCTCTAAAGATGCTGAGCCTTGGCTTAATGCCATGATGGCTGAAGTTGATTCCTTGAATAGGAACCAAACTTGGGAACTGGTGTGGGAGTCATAAAGCCACGGCAAAGGCTTGTAATATTGCAGGGTGCCCCCTGACCTCGGCTGACCAGCACTCTGAGCTTTACAATGTATTGGAATGTATTGGAGTTGTGTTTCCTCTGGGCAGTGATGACCCTATATGGTGATGGGGGCAATAAAAGCCTTGACCGGATGAGGTAACGTGAGACATTGGCAAACGGCCATGCGGCTGGAGAGAGACAAAGGATAATAAAGAAGCTACAGGAGGAGAGGGAAGTTCGAAAGGAGCAGCTCATACCATCCTGAAAATATTGCTGGCTCTCTGTGTCTTTATTTTATGCTAAACTGCACCATTTGTAACGGCTGGCTCCGACAAACTGGTACCGGTAGTCCCAGGAATGAGACTGGTTGGCAGCAAATCGGTCTTCAAGGCCAAGACAGACCAGAATGGCAAGGTTGTCAGAGACAAAGCCAAATTGGTTGCCAGAGGTTTTTCACAGGTACCAGGACAGGATTACCACGAGACCTACTCACCCACAGTCAAATATGAGAGCATTCGGCTGATGCTCAAGATCGCTGCGGAGGAGAAACGGCATGTTTCCCATCATGACATTAATACAGCTTTTTTGTACGGGATTTTGGGGGAGGAGCTGTTTATGCTTCCACCTGATGGAATGCAGATACAGAAGGGAATGGTCTGTAAACTGCGGAAATCCTTATATGGTCTCAAGCAGAGTGCCAGGTGTTGGAACATGAAACTCACTGAGACATTGCTTACTCTAGGTTTTCACCAGGGCAAAGCTGATCCATGTGTGTTTGTCAAGGAGGAGGGGCAAAACAAACTGTATTGTTTATGTTTTGTTGATGATCTTCTGATGTTTTGGAAGAATCAGGCTTTGTACCAAAGCACCCTAGCTCAGCTGAAGGAGCACTTTGACATGAAGGATCTTGGTGAGGTATCCAACTATCTTTCTCTGCAGGTGGAGAGGGACCAAACAGGTAATTTTCTGCGGAGAAGACCTACAAAAAGAACTATCTCCGGAACCAAAAGACCGCTCGAAAACAGTGATACCACCAACGGACGAGGAACAGGCACTAGGTGCAGTAGGAGGAGAGTTAAAATAATAATATCATGGCCCTGCAACTTTTAACATGGAACTGTCGGGGTTTGAATTCCCCTCAGAAAAGGAAGTCAGTATTTCATATATTAAAAAAGGAACAACTGGACCTAATTTGTTTACAAGAAACACATATAACAAGATTACACAGGAAATTATTGATAAATAAAAGACTTGGTCAGGAGTTTATTTCGTCGGACAAAGTAAAAAAAAGAGGGGTTGTGATTTATGCAAAAGACAATTTATCACCGAAATTTGTTTTTAAAGATGACCAAGGAAGATTTGTGGCAATTGAAATTCAAACACAAGGAGAAAAATTTCTGATTGTAGGAATTTATGCACCAAATGATGGGAAATCTGAATTTTTAAGAAGTTGCACGAGACCCTGATGGACCATATGGATTATAACATGATTTTGATGGGAGATATGAATGGAGTGGTATCTACATATATGGACAAGGCACAAAGACAGGTAGTCACCAAGGATGGTAGACTACCGAAAACTTTTTTTGACATGACAGACAACTTGGATTTAGTGGACATTTGGAGAATAAGAAATCCCATGGCTAAAGAGGGAACTTTCTTTTCTGAAGCCAAATTGACATGGACAAGAATTGACCAAATTTGGATAACTAGAGGAATGGCACCAAAGACAAGAAAGGTGGAAATCTGCCCGAAAATTTGCTCCGACTATAATGCTGTTAAGATGGAAATGAGACTGACACCAACTGGCTCCTTCAGATGGAAGATGAATGACACCTTATTTAGAGATGAGGAATTCCTTAAGAAGGCCCAAAAAACTTTGAGAGACTACTTTGAGATAAACCTTAGTACCAACGTGGAGAAAAGAGTAATCTGGGACGCTAGTAAAGCAGTTATGAGAGGGTTCTTAATACAACAGAATGCAATAAAGAAAAGAACTCAAAATGAGAAGAAGGATAAGATAATGGATAAAATAAAGGAATGTGAAAAAGACTGAGAGTAAATCCCAAATCTCAAGAGATTCTGCGAGAGTTAAAGCTATATCAAGTACAATATATGAAAATGATGAATCAGGAAATAGAATGGAAAATTAAACAAATGAGACAAAAGACTTTTGAGTCGGCCAATAAATGTGGTAAATTGTTAGCATGGCAAATGAAAAAGAGACAAAAATTAAATACGATTACGAACTTAGAGGTGGAAGGAAGAAACATACAGAACCCTGCAGAGATTAGAAGTTGTTTCCAGAGGTACTTTAAACGATTATATACTCAAGGGCCATTGAAAGAAACAGACTTAGACCAATTTTTGAAAACAAATGGATTACAAAAAATATCTCAAGAAAATAAATTAATTTTGAATCATAGAATAACTGAACAAGAAATAGAAGGTGCCATTCAAAACATGCAATTGGGTAAATCTCCAGGACCAGATGGCTTGACCTCTAGATACTACAGATCCTTAAAAGAATGGTTAATTCAACCTTTGAAAGAGGTCTGCAATGAAATAATGGAGGGGGAAAGAGCACCAGAGTCGTGGAAAGAAGCATATATTACACTTGTACCAAAGACAGAGACTGAAAAGACACAGCTTAAGAACTACCGCCCTATATCGTTATTGAATGTGGATTACAAAATTTTTGCAGATATTTTGGCTAAGAGATTTAAGAAAGTGCTGATGGAAGAGATCCATAAAGACCAAGCGGGCTTTCTCCCAGGAAGACATTTGTCTGACAATTTGAGGAATATAATTGATATTTTGGAAAAATTAGAAGTGAATATAAACACCAAAGCAGTTTTGATATTTGTAGATGCGGAGAAAGCCTTTGACAATATTTCTTGGAATTTTATGAAGAAGAATCTCCAGGGTATGGGGGTAGGCCAAGGTTTTGAGAATGGTATAGGTGCAATTTATTCAGAACAAAAAGCTAAATTAATTGTAAATAATGTTGTGACGGAAGAACTAAAAATTGAAAAAGGGACACGACAAGGTTGCCCTATTTCCCCACTTCTTTTTATTTCGGTCCTGGAGGTTTTGCTGAATATGATTAGAAGGGACCAGTCGGTTAAAGGTATACAGGTCAGAACTAAACAGTACAAATTGAGAGCGTTTGCAGATGACTTAGTATTGACGTTACAGGAGCCAGAATCTAGTACTAAAAGAGTTTTAGAACTGATCCAGGAATTTGGTCAAGTGGCAGGATTTAAATTGAACAAGTCAAAAACCAAGGTTTTAGAGAAAAATTTAACACCGTTTGAAAGAGAGAGGTTTCAGAATGAGACAGGTTTAACAGTGGTTAAGAAAGTTAAATACCTGGGGATTAACATGACAGCACAAAATGGGAACTTATTTAAAGATAACTATGAAAAATGTTGGTCTGAAGTGAAAAAAGATTTAGAAATTTGGTCAAATTTGAAGCTTTCACTGCTAGGCCGTATTGCTGCGATAAAAATGAATGTATTGCCTAGAATGTTGTTTTTGTTTCAAACTTTGCAGATAGTTGACAAAATGGATTGTTTCAAGAGGTGGCAGAAAGATATTTCTAAATTTGTCTGGCAGGGCAAGAAGCCTAGAATAAAATTTAAAATTTTAACGGATGCAAAGGAAAGAGGCGGATTTGCCCTGCCAGACCTTAAACTTTACTATGAATCAGCAGCTTTTTGCTGGTTGAAAGAATGGCTACTTCTTGAAAACACTGACATTTTGGATTTGGAAGGTTTTAACAATGTATTTGGATGGCATGCATATTTATGGTATGATAAGGTCAAAGCACATAAAGCATTTAGAAACCACATTGTCAGGAAAGCGCTATTTAATGTTTGGTCAAGATATAAGGATTTGCTAGAAAACAAAACCCCAAGGTGGCTGTCACCAATGGAAGCGAAAGCCTTGAAAAAGGTCAATATGGAGGTCAAATAGCCGAAATATTGGGAAATTTTGGAACAAGACGGAGATAGACTGAAACTGCAGAGTTTTGAAAAACTAAAAACAAAGTGCGAGACTGGCTTCATTATTATCAGATAATGGAGGCATTTAAATTGGACAGGAAAATTGGCTTCCAGGTGGAAAGATCAAAATTAGAAACAGAACTGTTAGAACCCAAAACTAAGAATTTGTCAAGAATGTATAACTTGCTGCTGAAATGGAATACTCAGGATGAAACGGTAAAATCGGCTATGATTAAATGGGCACAGGACATTGGACATAACATTATGTTTGCTGACTGGGAACAGTTGTGGACCACAGGTATGAAATTTACGGCATGTAATGCCTTAAGAGAGAATATTATGAAAATGATATACAGGTGGTACATAACCCCAGTCAAGCTTGCAAAAATTTATCACTTGCCCGATAACAAATGTTGGAAATGTAAAGAAACTGAAGGTACATTTTTTCACCTTTGGTGGACGTGCCCAAAGATTAAGGTTTTCTGGGAAATGATATATAATGAATTAAAAAAGGTATTTAAGTATACCTTCCCTAAGAAACCAGAGGCCTTTCTCCTGGGCATAGTCGGCCAAATGGTGTTAAAAAGGATAGAACTTTCTTTATGTATGCAACAACAGCAGCAAGAATACTCATCGCAAAATATTGGAAGACACAAGAACTTCCCACGCTGGAGGAATGGCAGATGAAACTTATGGACTATATGGAACTGGCGGAAATGACTGGCAGAATCCGTGACCAGGGAGAAGAGTCGGTGGAGGAAGATTGGAAGAAATTCAAAGACTATCTTCAGAAACATTGTAAAATTAAAGAATGTTAGAGTGATGTTGGACTGAAAATAAGCGGTTTCCAGCTGTACAGGTTAAAGTTAATGATAGACTAAGATTAAGATTAGGATTAAAGATGTTTAAAGAAATGGAAATCTGACAATTAAGAGGGAAAATTTTAACGTTATATTATACTAAGATTAAAGATCAGGTTTAAAGAAATTGAAGATATATATTACAATATTATATTAAAGTTAAAGATTGGGGGGGGGGAAGTTGAAAAGAAATTGCTGGACAAACAATTTGGATTGGAATACAAAAGAGGGAGGTATGAGGAAGTCCAGAAAATAAGTAAACTAAAAAAACGGAAATGGAAAAGAGATATTGTTATTAATTGTTATGGTTTTTTTTGCTTTTTATTGTTGAATTGTGTTCTTTTTTGTGTGTTTTTGTTATCTTTTCTTCTTTTTTTGAGATATGTACTGTGTATGTTTTTCTTTTCTTTCTTTGTTGTTCAAAACTTAAATAAAAATTATTAAAAAAACAAAAACAAAAAACAAACAGGTAATTTTCTGGTACACCAAACACAGAAAATTGCTGATGTATTAACCAGGTTGAATTTGGTTGATGCAAACCCAGCAGACACACCGATGGTGACAGGTTACCTGGTAGACAGTACTGCTGAAGCGTCTTCTGACACAACGCTGTACAGATGCATTCTAGGCAAGTTGAATTTCATTGCTAGATGCTCAAGACCTGACATTGCTGTAAGCACTAACCTGCTTAGCAGACATGCTAACAATCCTACCGTTCAGGATTGGAAAGCTCTGACGCGCCTAGCCCACTATTTGAAAGGGACTATGCACTACAGGCTGAGGTTCACCAGTCAGAAGACTGGAGGTCTTGAAATCTTTGCAGATGCAAGTTTTGGAAGTGACACCACGGATGGTACAAGCACTTCTGGAGTATGCTACATGTACAACCACTGTCTGTTTGACTGGCTGTGCAAGAAGCAGACGACAGTGAGCCTAAGTTCCTGTGAAGCAGAACTCAATGCTCTGTCATTTTCACTCATGGATTGTGAATGGTTGATGCAACTGTTTAGGGACATCAGAATTTCTGTGAAATGTCCTATACAAGTGTATCAAGACAATAGATCGTGTTTGGCTTTGCTGAACTCGGAGAGTTGCAAGCAAAGGACCAAGTACTTGCAGATTAAGCTACATCGTGCAAGGGAGTGTATTCAGAAAGGGCTCATTCAGGTGTCCTACATGCCAGGAAATGAAATTCCTGCTGATCTGTTGTCTAAGGTTGTTAACAGAGAACAACTTAAGGTTTACGTACAAAGGTTGCAGTTGGGTTGAACCACAGGTACTACAGGTTACATGGAAAGGGGGAGGATGTTAGGATATTTCCGTTCCACCTTAAAAGGGAGCAGGCTGTGAGTCACAGAGTCTGCGTATTTCCTGTTCACAGGATGTTTATGTTTTCTGTTGCTTTCGTTTCTCTCTCTGTGTCGTAGACACTAAAGCAGGCAGTCAAAAACATGTTCTGATCAACACTGAATAAACTTGTAAATAATGCTCTCCTGAGTGCAACTTTTGGCTGTGCATTATCTGCTGATAGAGTGTGCATGAGCTCTGGAATGTGACAAGATATTTTCTAGAAACTCATTTCACTAATTGATGATACTGCGTGCCTACGGGAGATCGATGGATCGTCCGGCAGACGGCTTGGGGCCATGATGGACTTTGTCTCCCTGGCAGTATCCCAACAATGCGTGCACTGCATCAGATCTAGGGCAGTGCAGACAATTCCTCCCCCCTCCCAAGGTGCCGAGCTGAGGGGGTACAAAATAAAGAAAAATCAACTGTACCAAAAGGAAAGATCCTGAAAAGAAGAAATATTTAAGCGGGGGGGGGGGGGGTTGCCAAATGTTCGACTTTGCCAAAGTCCATCCTTGTTGACAAATTATCTTGAAGAGGCAAAAAACCAGGTATCTTATGTAAGAAGTTATGTAAATAAACATGCTCACCTGGAAGTTAATTTCATCGGGGACAGCGGGGCTTACATCCAAATAAAGAGTCTGCATCTGTGAGTGGACCTCTCTGGCGCCAGTTCTGTGCTCCCCATAGACCTGACCATGGAAAGGCGCGGGCGCAGATCCAGTCCAACGCAGACTTCTGGGGACTTGAGCTCCGGTGCAGGAGGACCGGCTTCCCAGATTCCTCCTCCTCCTCCTCCTCCGCTCTTCTCCCAAGGACACGAGATGCTGCGCTCCTCCGAAATGGCGCGGGGACGCGCGCGCGAGCTCCGAGCAGCCGCTTCCCCGGCTTGGTGGCCGGCAGCGCAGCCGGGCGCGCACGCCGAGGGCTCCGAGGAGAGAAAGGGGCTGGCGGGGAGGGAGGGAGGGGGACAGGAACCCGGCCGAGAGAGAGAGAAGAAAGAGAGGTCAGGCAGCCCTGGCGAGGCGGAGCTGCAGCTGGAGCAGCGGCTTGGCCGGCGAGGCTGGAGGGAGGCTCTCCGCCCAAGCGCCCGCCTAAGAGGCGCCTCCGCCCCTTCTGGCGGCGCGGCGGAGGAACTGACCTCAGCTCCGCGACTCGGCGGCGCCTCCAGCTGCTCGCTCCCCGCTGGCTGGCGAGGCGCGGGGGCGCGCCGGGAATCGCCTACAATTCCTGGAATCAGAGCGTTGGAAGGGAGCCCGAGGGTCATCTAGTCCAACCCCCTGCAAAGCACGAATCTGCAGCTGCCCCTTGCCGGGATCCACCTGCCTGCAGCCTTGGCGCTATCAGGATGATTATGCGTTGCTGAGATCTCCTGCGCTGCCTGGAGCCTTTTCCCCACTTACTTAGGAGCAGCGCTTTTTTTCTTTAAAAAAATGTTTAGGGGCTATTCTCATTTTCCTACTCATCTTGAAATACTTCCCCTCAATGAGGCCAAACTTAGATTCACAAAATGTTTAGGGGTATGTGTGCCCCTGCGTCCCCCCCCCCCCCGAAAAAAGCACTGCTTGGGAGCAACAGGGTGGGGCTTCCTCTGGGAGAGGGTCTCCAGGGCTCCACTCTCCTACCCATGTGCGGAGCCAGTGGGGGGCAGAGAGGAGGTAGCTGCCCCCCATCAAGTAAATAAATAAAAATACCTATCTAAAAGTAGAAATTGGAGAAAGTTTGATTTATTTATTTTTTGAGCACTTGGGGTCAAAAGAAAGTAATTTAAAGCAACTGTTGAGACATTTCATTCCGAATCTGCAGAGCCAGACAGGGGATGGTGACAGGTGGGTTAGATTTTAGTAGTACAGTAGCTAGGCTTACATATGCTGGTCTTTATACAAGGTATTGGGAGCACAGGATGTCTCCTCAGTGCCTTCCAGGATATGTTTCTGAGATAGGATCTCATAATGTGGATCTCCTGTCATATTAAGTAATGCTAACCTTCTTGGCCATGCCATGATTGACAGCAGAGGTTCCCAAACTTACAGTGGCGAAGCTGCATGCTCCACTACCAGGGTGGAGAGCAGGCAGGGAGAGCAGGCCATTCCTCCGCCACTGCAAACTTATTAGGCCTAACACCCACTTTTCAGGGAAAAAAATACTCAGCGCCCCTCTGGAAATCTCCCTTCTTTAACTTGTTAGGACCTGTTGGCGGACTTTACTACCCATAGGTTATAAATTGCATTTTGTGTGTTTATTTGGAAAATAAAGTAATCACTAGTCTATGTTACAGTGGTAAACATCATTATACAACAGATGAAACATGTACAAACAGTTTTTCAGAACTGGACAAAGAGGTGGACTAGGACCCGGGATTAAAATCCAATGGGGCAGATCCAACTACTGTGCTTGCTAGATCTTGCTGAAAAGAAGTGCCACAGACAGACTAGAGGGGTGTAGATTATTGTGGGAGAAATCAGTACAGTGAAATCAATATAAGAAATCAAGCAGGGGCATCTGGAGAAATAATTATTTTTCAGTTTTCCTGTATTGCACAAAACACAGCTGCAGAGCACATCTACTGCTGAAACAGAACTGGTGTTTGAAGGATGTAGGGGGCATGGAAAGGTGAGTAGTGGAAATCGATGCTTTATCTAACTCCAAGGGGGGGGGGAACCAAGGCAACGTACCTGCTGTCTTGAGAGGAGCAATTTGGAGTTGCATTTCCCCAAACTTATCATATTATCAAGGAAATCCATTTTTGCAGGGGTAAATCAGCAGGGTAGGAGCTGTTTGAATGGGATGCAGCACTATTTTTTCAAGATAAAGAGGTACTGGAACTCACCATGAACGCCTCCCTTGTTCTCTTATAATGCCAATTGTGAGGTGACTGCTTCAAGTGGCAGGATCCACAGCAGCAGCAGATCCGGCCTCCAAAGAATGCATCTGCCACCACTGCTGCTGCTGCCACTCACTCCTTGGAGGCTGGATCTGCTTGCTCCCCACCCACCCCCACGTGCCACCTCTACAACCTCTCAGTAAATAGGAGGGGCTCCTGGTCTCTTCCCACCCACAGGGAGAAAATGACAGAGGCTGCCCTCTGGGGTCTTGTAGTCATGATTCAGAGCAGGTGTCTCCCCATCCTCCATGATGGCCTTTGATTCCTGCTTCAACCATCGGGCACAGGTGACCTGATTCCCTCCCTTGTTCCTGATGTAGATCTTCACTCACTCCTTCTTCCTTGGCGGGGGGAGGAGGTGCCATTTTGTGGTTCGCCTTAGGTGCCAAAATGTCTTAGACCAGCCCCGGTGACACTACTTAACTGGAAATGCAAACAGCTTCAATAGTACATTTATGATGTGGTGTGGTGTGGTGTGGTATGGCTAAGCCCTAAGAGAAGACAGAACATCTCTGGAGGTCTCACGTGGTGCATTGGATTTGGCTGTTGGAGTGCTTCCAACTATGCTCAACCTATATATCTATATTTATTCTATATTCTGGGAAATGGTTTGTCTGATTGTTTGTTCTCTGTGCATTTGGACTTACCAAGCCATATCTTCCAGGCCCCTGGCTGAGTTGCTGCTACAGCTTCTTTGACTTTCTTCTCCTGTTGGCATCTCCTCATCTGAGGGTGTTTCTGCTGCTTTTGCAATCCCTGCTTCCTTACCTCCCTGCTATGCTCTCTAGACAAGACAGAGAGGATTTATGTCACTCCAGCTACTCTCCCCCTTTCTAGGCAGCCACACATCTTCCAAGCTACCTTGCTCCTTTCTGCAGGCCTCCATCCTGCCTTTTCTTTGGTAGTAGGTGGGCCAGTTGCACCCATCCAGCTGCCACATCTTCAGAGCAGCAAGACTCTGATATGAGAGAATAAATCCTTCAGAATATAGTACTATTTACTTCTGTGTAAACATGCATAGGATTGAGCCATTTTACCTCTCTTGGGCTGAAGTCAATGGTCTTTTGATTGAGCTTCAATCATTAAGATTTCTACAGTTATTTGGTATGACGTTCTGTCAAAAGGAAGGAAAAAAAGCAAGGTAATGTAAAATATGGATACACAGCTAGATGCTGCAGTGGCATTTCTGAAAAGTAACCGTGACTATATGACTTGATTGCTGCAACATTTGATAATCCCAGTGAGGTAACATTCCCTGAGCAGCATGTGAGACAGAAAAACAGATTTTCCCTAGAGGAAACAGCAGATGACCCCATTCTTGAACCAAAACACACATTTCATATAGAAATTTTCGATGTTGTGGTGGTTGAAACAATTGCTCACACAGAAAACAAACAGTGCCTTTTAAAGACGAGTATGGTTTGGGTTCAGCAGCTCTGTGGACACGGCACTAGGGTTATGCAGCTCTGGATTCAAAATTGCTGCATAATCCACAGTGCCGTTGATCACAATGACTGGACGCTGCCCCAGCCCAGTGCACTCCGCTTTTAATGCCACCAGTGGGGGGGTCCGAGGGCGGTGCAACATTCTGAGCCCAGAAATTCATGCAAAACAGAGTTGCAGCAAATTGCCTCCCCTCTCACAGTGCTCTCACTTGCAACGGAGGCCTTCCTTGTGCTGATGACTTGCATGCTTTTAAAGGTTGGTTTTTGATTTACTTGCTTTTTTCCATAATCCCTGCCTCGCGTGCATTCGTTGGAAGAGAAAGCGAGGGGACCCAAACCGCCACACGAGCACAGATTTCTTCCACCTTCCCAGGGGAGCAAGAGAGAGAAAGCCACAGAAAGAAAAACAATCCGGCCCATGCATCCCTCTTGCTCTTTTCCCCGCGCCGTATCTCTGTGCGCCCGTCGCCCGATCAGGCCACGCACGCGGTGACGCCAGCCCGCCGCGCAGCTCCGGCTCCGGAGGGGGCGGGGCTTGGCGGGCTTCGGCGCCTCCCGCTCGGCGGCATTTCCGGGTCGGGCGGGCTCTAGCAGCAGCGTCGCCGTCAGCTGGAAGCCGCTCCTCCCGCGCGCGGCGCCGCGGCTCGAGCAGAGTTGACTATATATGGTCAAAGCCTGGGGGAGAGGGCGAAAAGCTGCGCGGGCGGGCGGGCGCTTCCTGGTTCGTGCAGCTGGGAGGGGACGTCGCCGCCGCCGCCGCGGGAGGGAATTGGCAGCGCTGCGAAGCGGATTGTGCGCCCCCCCTGCCCACCCCTCTTGGCCCTTCTCGGATCCGAGGCAGCAGCAGCAGCAGCGGCGGCGGCGGGGAGCCGGGGGAGGCGAAGATGCCACATGAGCTGAGTGAGTAGGCAGAGAGACCCCCCCCCGCCCGTGTGCAATGCCTGCAAGCGGCGCTGCTGCAGCTGCTTCCTCCTCCTCCTCCTCCTGCTGCTGCTGCTCCTGGCGAGGAGCGGCGCCCATTTGCCCGCGCGGTGCCTGGGCTCGCCCTTTCTCCTGTCATTCGGGGCCACGTTGCTGCAGCCTCCCCGGGCGGGGGGGGGGGCATTTACCCCGGGGGAGGAGGAAAGGGAGCTGGGGATGTGGGGAACGCCATCCAGCCCCTCGCGGGCAAAGCTCCTGCGCAAGCAGCGGCGTTGCCCAGGACATTTTCCTCCTTGCAACCTTCCCTTTGCCAAGTTAGGGGGCGGGGGGTCTTTTCTCTGGTCGGGGAGTCTCCCCCCCCCCCCGAAGTCTCCTCCCCCCCCCCCCAGTACAATTTCTCCACGTAGCATTCAGCAACAGGTCAAATAGCCAATGTATCTGGAGTTGTTTGCGCTCTTGTTTCTTGCTGGCCTCCCGTTGTTAATAGGTGTGTCTTTTTCTCTCCCCCCCCCCACCCCCCATTTGTAGAAAAAGTGTTTGCCAGTCTCCCGCAGGTTGAGAGAGGCGTCTCCAAGATCATTGGGGGAGATCCAAAGGGCAATAACTTTCTGTACACGAATGGAAAATGTGTCATCATCCGCAACATTGATGTAATGTACCCTCATTTTTACATTGATTCATTTTTACATTGATTCTTACTGATGGTTTTCTTTTTAAGCCTTAATGCTTCTCCTTTGCTGTTCTATTGAGGTCAGGGATCTGTGACAATTTAGGAGGGCATTGGAGTGAAAGCAGAATGACTCACAGGAGCTGAGAATAACCAGAGAGATGTTGAGGCTGCATGTGGAAACGCCCTGAAATCTAACATGATAAAGGGCAGCATGTTTTAAATAAAAAAGAAAGCTCTTAAAATACAAATAAAAGTGGAGTGGGGGGAAGAGATCAGTGGTATTATGAAGTATTTTTCAGTACTGAAGTAAATATGGAAAGCTTATAGGATGTTGAATGTATGAAAACATCCTATAGAAATTAAAGGGTATTTCTTTTCTCCTGTTGTGTTTTCCCTAATCTGGTGAACAGCATCACTCAAATCCAATGTGTCTCTTTGCTTCATGGGAATATCTGTGTTTTGTATGAGAATATTTTCATATTTGGAACCTAATTAGTAGTCAAAAATCACTCCCTTTTTAAGTTATAGCCATGAGGTAGGACTATAGTTGCAAAATACTTTCTTTGCTTACTGTCTTAGGACAGGATTGTAGCAAGCAGTTCTGGATACCTTAGAGCTATGATTAAAAGTAGAGCATTTGTGTTGTAGTACCTACAATGTGGAATTGTCTTTCAGAGCTTTTCACAGTCTACTGAGATCTATCTCTTATATATTTATTGGCGCTTTAATACTTCTGTGTGACAGATATGAATATGGTGAACCAAACTTTTTAGTTTTGGTAACAAATGGGGAAATTCATCTTTCTCTCTTGTATCACTGAAAACAATGTAGCAATTTGTTACACTGGAGTTTTTAATGTGGTTTGGATTACTGGTACAGAACTCATGTGGGGAGTTGGACATGTGATTGCTTATATTTCCTGTTTTAGGAAAAACACTAGTCATGGGAGTCGCTTTAATTTCAAGTGTTGGCATCCACATTCTAGAAACTAGAAATACATTAGGCAAAACTTTTAAGATGTGGCCGTAAGAACATAAGGAGAGGCCTACTGAGCCAGACCAAAGGCCGATCTAGTCTGGTGTGCTGTTTCGGTAGTCAGATGGATGCCTGTGGGAGGCTGGTGGAACATGAGCACAGCAGCGCTCTTCCCAGTTGTTCCCCAGCAACAGGTGAAGTGTGGCATCAGACAAGACCCTGCAAACCCCCTGTAGGAGGAGGGCTGTGGTCCTGGTGATCAAAAATCTTGGCTCACTACAAAATCTGGGGGCGGGGAGGGGGAATTGTTGACCAGTTGAAGCCACTGCCTAATAAACATGAGTGGCCAGACATATAACTTGGGCAACAGATGTTTGTATTGTGCATAGATAGGAGCAGGAGAGCCTGGTTGTGACATAATTGAGGCTACATGCCTGAGGATTCGTGGACCAGAACCTCCCCAGAACATGGAGAATTTTATCTCTATTATACTTTGCAACAGGTGGGTCTCTTGGCACAGCTAGGATGGCCGCTAGTGACACAGATGAGGATCATGCAGGAATAAGAGTTGTGTTATTCATTACATTTCACTTTTATTTTGTATACAGCCTTTCTATGTTGCTATACACAAGGCGATTTACAGCAACAAAATATTCAACAAAGAACACACACCTTATAATAATGTGATCCAATACAAAAAGTCATAATAAAACATAACTTTAAAATAGAATGACTTACATCAAATAAAGTGATATTCAACAATCTATTAGAATATAATAGTACACAATAAAATTAACCCTCATCACAGCAAATAATAATTAAACAAATTCACTCTCAATAATTACTGAACTGTGATCAATAAAAATAAGTGCAAGTCAAAATGCATAAAATACCACAATACATACAAAACCACATAAAAGGATCAAATTGAGAAACAAAGACACAGAACTTATAAAACGGTTTTTTAAAAATCCCTGAACTCTTCTTCTCCCTTCGCAGCTGGGAGAGGCTACTTGCTCAGCTGGACTTGATTGAGGCTGGGGAAGGCGAGGCTCTTTCTCCCTTCTTTGCACTTCCTCGCTGAGGAAGCTGACTTCTGCTAAATTATTTTAGAGTCTTTCTGTAGGTTTTCTTTTGGTGGGACTTTTCCAAACAACTTCCAGCCAGGAGCACTGTGGACTTTTGTTCTTTTAGTGAAGAACTTATTCGTTACTTAACCTATGATAGCTATCTGAGACAGAATGTGGAAGAAGAGGCATTCTGCCTACAGTTGACTGCTAAGCCAGTATCTCTTCTTAAGCCAACAAATCCATAAAATTCTCCTTGCATGCAACAAAGCCGTGTTTTAAGGTGCATCCTCTCTATTCTCCCATACCTTCCTTCCTTCTGACTTACTGTCAGGCCTTCCCTCCCACTTGAATCGATAGGCTGAGCAAACCTTTTGCTGGATTTGGTCTAGAAGAGAAGCTGAATAGTTTCCTCATTGCTCATCTCTCAGCTTCCCAGAATGTGCTCACAGGGCTTTACTGTGTGTTGGCAACTTGTCCCAGAAGCCTAGTGCAATGAAACCCATTGGCTTTGCTGGGGACGCTGTTTCTCAAAGCCACCTGGGCGCAGAAGACTAACTATAGAATGTGTTTCTTTCCCTTTGTCTTTCACCTATGGCTGCCAACAGAAGCTACAAGCCTTTCCTACTACTCATAGTTTACCTGGATTTGTAATGTTGGTTTATTCTTCTTGACACGCCCGTCTGGCTTTTCCCTCTGGTCTCTTTGACTTCTTCCCAATGAAACCCTTTTAAAGTTTGCAGCCTGAGTGTGTTTGTGGTATGCTCAAGTGATTAGGTTCCTCTCGCATACCTAGGTTACTTCGTAATGCAAGACACAGACGTGTCTTGGGGTCTTCAAGGAAAGGATGCTCCTTCACCCTGAGGAGCTCACTGGCTTGTATGCTGTGACCCGTTGCCCCTACCAGGGTCAGCAGACTGGCACCTCCTGAGCATGCATATGTCAAAGGGCACAGTTTTGGGGACCCCAGAAGAAAAACATTCAGGAAATCTTAGAATGTTGAGTCATTCAACTAACAGAAAGTGACAGATTATAAACTACCATAAGCAAGTTTTCAGCTTGATAACCATCAAGCTCCTGTCGTCTCATCCACAATCGGCAATTCAGATGTTTCTGTGCACCCCATTAAAGTTCTAAAAGAGTACTAGAAAGCTCCATGAGGGCAACTGTAACACTGGATTTCCCAGTTGCATGAATATTTTACTTCTGTTGCCTCCTCTGCCTGCACTAAGTTACAGAGCCAGTCGCTGGCTGTTGCAGGTATCTCTGGTTTCAGTCTTCCAAAAGAATAGACTGTGAATTGGAGGACTCCATAGCAGGATGTGTGTTCTAGGATTCAGCTAATCTTTTTTTCTTTTCATAAGAATCCTAACTATTGCTTTCAGAGAATTCCTGGTAAATCTTAACTGGTTTCGGTGACTTTTAAAGTGAGATTCTCTTGCATGTGCTTGTGTGCTGCCTCTTGCTCAAAGAGCAGCTATATGCTATAGAAAGAGGACATTATTGTAGCCTTAATACTAGCCTTCAAATAAGGTGTTGACTTAAATAACAAAGAAGATATTTCACTTCTTAGAAGTCTTGGCCTAATCAGTAATATTTTCTTTTTCTCCTTCTGGAAACGGCAGCTATGGTAGGATAGGATAGGTGGAAATTTTGCTAGGGTATTTGTTTGTAGTCCTTCATGGTCAGTTGGTGTTTCTTATGAAAGCTCACGGGTAGATGGTTTTAAGATGTGGAGATCTCATGAATGTTTTGAATCCATTGGCTCCCCTTCCCCCTTCTAAGGAGAGGTGGTCAGAGGCAAAGGGGAGTGGGGGGAGAAGAAGTCGTTCGACAAGTCTGAGGCAGAGAGGGGGATCCTGGTTCAGCTCATCACCCTGAGCAGTGGTTAAGGTGCTCAAAAATGACTTGTGTTGGACTTAGGAGTTTTTGTACCACATGTGAGAAGAGGACAGCGAAAACTTCCAGTGTGACTTCAGAAAAAGCTACAGCTGCACATTAATCTATTGTTCTAACCATTAATTCAACTCTACGGTTCTTTGATTCTATAAGTAAGCCAGATTCTAAAACCATGGTTTGAGCCTAGTTTGTTTGAAAGGTAAACTGCTGCCCCTTCCCCACAAAAAAAACTTATCTGGAAGCTTTAAGCATCCTTCCCTCAAGTGTGGAGCGCTGGGTGCAGGATTTCTTCTCTGCTTTACATCTGCATCTGAACTAGGTCTGAGTAGATGATGACCAACCAAGGTTAGAAGTGCATGCATCCAATAGCAGAGACAGCAGTCAAATGCCGAGCTCCTCTCCCCGCCCCTGCTGCGTTTCAGAGTTTCTTTACTTCTGAATCCAGACAAATTGTGGTTAGTTTAGAATTGTAGGATTGTAAGCATTGGAAGAGCCCCCAGGGTCATCTAGCCCAGCCCCCTGTAATACAGGAATCCCAACTAAAGCATCCATGACAGATGGCCACCCAACCTCTGCTTAAAAACCTCCAGGGATGGAGAGTCCACAATCTCCCAAGGAGTCCATTGCACTGTCGGACAGCTCTTACTGTTAGAAAGATTTTCCTGATGTTTAGTCAGAATCTCATTTCTTGTAACTTGAAGCCGCTGGTTCAAGTCCTACCCTCCGGAGCAGGAAAAAACAAGCCTGCTTTTGTGCAGGTGGTTTTTCCTGCCTAAATGTCCCTATTGAAATTCATCTTGTTAGTTTGGGCCCAGTTCTCCATCTGATAAGGTCATCTTGAGTCACGATTCTGTCTTCCGTGGCTTCCTCTTTGGTGACCACTCGTAGCCAAGTAAGAGTGTCTTCCATGAACACGATCTTAGCGGTGTGTCCGTAGGTGACTGTGGAGGCCAGTTCTGGATCCACAAGTCCTTCCACAGTGGGAACATTGGTTTCCAGGTGGGAGTTGATGTTGGTGAGGTTTGCCAAACATGCCCTCCTCTTAACCAGTTTCTCCCTTTTGTCCTGAGTTCGATTGTCTTCAAAGTCCATGACACCTTTTATAAAGACTTCAACTGGAGCACTCACAGGCTAGGGTTTCCCAATTATTGGTGTTTATACTACATTTTTTTAGATTTACCTTGAGAGAGTCTTTAAACCTCTTTTGTGTCAACACCAGCATTACGCTTTCCATTTTTAAGTTCAGAATACAGTAGTTGCTTTGGAAGACGATAATCAGGCATCCAAACAAGTTGATGTTGATACTGAAGAATCATTGCTTCGGCACTGGTGATCTTTGCTTCTTCCAGTACACTGACATTTGACTGTCTTCCCAAGTGATATGTAAAAATTTTGGAGACACCGTTAATGGAATCTTTCGAGAAGTTGGAGATGGCATTTATAAGTAGTCTGTGCTTCACAAGCAAAACAGTAAGGTTGGTAGTACAATAGTTTACAAAGGTAAACAAGCATTTTGGTTTCCCTGTGAATGTCCCAGTCCTCAAACACTCTGCACTCTTGCAGAGCTCAGGCAGTGCTGGATTTCGGCATCAGTGATGGCCCTTGTGGAAAGATAACTGCCCAGGTAGGAGAAGTGATCAACAGTTTCCAACGTTACACCATTGAGTTTGATTTGTGCTGCTGCAGAGGGGTTTTGTGCTTGTTGGTGCAGCACTTTGGTTTTTTGGATGTTGAGCGATAGGCCTAGCTGTAAGTTTCTGTGAAGAATATGTGGCATTAGCTACCCCTCCCTGTTTGGTTTCCTCTGCTACATTGATGAGCTTCCCCTCAACTCCTCCATCCGAGTCAGCCATGCTATCTGGGTTCAATGTGAGTTGGAAGTCCAACAGCATCTGAAGTAGCCACCACTGCTGTAGAGAAACAAGCCAACTTGGCAAATTGTAGCCATGACCGTGACTTGTTTCCCTTAACCATGTCCCCATGTTCTTTCTTAGGCTCCTCTCCACTTTTCCCCCGAGGCTGCCTGCCCCTTTCTCCTTGGGACATTAACGCTTCCTGTGGGTGAACTATTTATTTTATTGATTTACAACCAGCTTTTATGAAGATCTTCCCAAAATGGTTTACAAAATGCAAACAAATAAAGCATTCATGCCATGTGAATATTACAGTCAGCACAGAAATAACACAATAACCTAGCATAAGTTTAAACAAAACAAAACCCAGATCACAACATCATTTCTTCAGCTCATTGTATAATTAACCACTGAAGGCTGCAGCAGAGAAGTGGGTCGTCAAGACCAGGGCTTTTTTCAGCCAGAACTCGCTGAAACTCAGTTCCAGCACCTCTCAGGTGGGCGCCATTGCCGTTATAAGAGAACAAGTTCATGGTGAGTTCTGGCACCTCTTTTTCTATGACAATAGCACTGATCAAGACCCATTTGAAAAGTACTGTATCGAGTCATGGGGCTTGTCTGATATTGCATGGAATTGCATCCAGAAATGTTTTAATATTTTGGCAGCCTGAGCTTTGGCTTGGTGTGATCTGGTGCCCAAATCAAATGCATTCATTTGAATTGATAATGACAGTAGACTTGTCACTGTGCGTCATCAAACCACAGATTTGTCCCCTCTTGCCTCAGCAAATCCTTCTCTTCCTCTGACTGTCAACTTAACTGCTCACTAAACTGAGAACTAAAGGGTGGTATATACCAGTAACTCTAATAAATAAAATAAGATAATTGTTCCATACAGAGATGTAAAGCATCATTATTTGAAATTGATAGCGGTATATATTATAGCAACAGAACTTGGGTATCTTTGTTATATAGCTAGCAAGCTGTGTGCGTGGACTGGGCAGATTGCGTTAAATTTCCATACGTGGACCTTGAGAGATACTCAGCACTGTGCTGCTGATTCATTGGAATTCTGACTCCATTTCCTCATATTAAAAACAAAAGGAACATGAAGTTGTTGGTGACAACTGTGCTTTAGAGATGTGATTCCTGCTGAGACTGCTTTTCTGCCTGTAGTTCTGTCAGTTCTTACAATGCTAGGCATTATTAATAAATTTGATTAGAAAACATATTTCTATAAAGCAGTTTTAGCTGTGCCAACTCCTGCATTTCGGGGGTTGGATGATGACCCTGGGGGTCCCTTCCAACTCTACAATTTCATGATTCTGTACTTTGCACCTGTTGAAGATTCATATGTGCCTCGCACTGGGCTGGCCCACCCGTGAGGCAAGGTGAGGCAGCTGCCTCAGGCAGCAGGACCGACCAGGGTAGCAGATCCCAATGTCAATATTTCTCCCCCCTCCCCCTGTTCCTCACCCCTTCTTTCCTTCCGCCTTCTTGGGGTCCATCTCGGGTGCCAAATATTTTTGGCTGACTCCAGCCTCATATGCTGGGCAGTGGGCTTGCTTTACGTCTGCAGAAAGCAGCCAGATGCTTCCCCCAGTCCAGACAATAGTATTGGGACTGTGCTTGTAATTGCTTGCTTCCTTTGTAATGGTTACTTACAATACATCTGTGAAATACCATAATTTTTATAAATTGGGAAATTGCTCTTTCCTGTGTTTAATTTCAGCACAGCGGGTCAGTAGTTTCCTTGCTTTTCTCTCTTCTGTAGTTGAGACTTAAAAAAAAAAATCAATGCCTGCCTCAATTTTTAAATCAGAGGTTTAAAATACCTTTGGCCTTCCAAATGATGTTGGATTTCAACTCTCATCATCCCTGATCATTGGCCAATCTGGTTGGGCCTGTTGGGAGCTGAATCCACACAGCATCTAGAGGTCCACAGCTTAGCCACCTGTGTTTAAAAACAATTTCTGAGGAGGCTTGGTGAATGGGAGACCCTGTCAAACAGAATCCTCTCAATTGTGAATGATTTGATAAATCCGGGCTGTTTTGGAAGACTTGGGTGTTTGAACTTCAGTCATAGATTGCTGAACCACAATACACAGTTGGCAGCTCTCATTGGTGAGATTGTGACTGTTGTTTGGCTTCAGTGATGTGGGTTTTCTCGAAGACTTTGAAAAGGGAAGTATGACGAAGCCATGCACTTCTGAAACTGGAAAATGTTCTTCGGAAAAGCACAGCAGTGGGAAATTCTCTGGAAAATTTCCACCCCATATCACTGGCTAGTCAGTCAAATTTTCTGTGACACAGGTGGCAATATTGGAACCTTCCTTCCTCTATTTGAGCTCCTAGGCTGCATTTGTGTCTGTGCTGCCTATTGTGCATGTTCCCTGTTCTCCATTTCTTCAGCGTACTAATTCCATATTTGGAGCCTAGGCATGCCGCAGAGTTTGGACAAAGGCCACTGTACCGTCTGGTGTAGTGAGGGGCCAGAGAGAGCAGTCACAATTTGTCACTGCATGTAGCAAATGTTTCTTGCACAAGGCTTATGCTTCCTTCTAGGAAGGCAGAAGGGGTGTCAACACTGTGACATTGGCTTAACCAATTTGCAATCCTGTTTAATTAAGCAGGAGAGTGGTTAGTCATTCAGAAGCACCGGCATTGGTACTGCAGTCTCAGATCTGTCAGTCCAACATTTAATCTCTGTATGGCACTGAGACTGTAGCCTTGACCAAGAAACTCAAAGTCGGAAAAACATTGTCCTGATAATCTTGCTAGATCTTGACGCATCCCCTAGTACCATTAATCGTGAGGTGTTGGTGACATGGCAGCTCTCTGTGGGGCTGTGTTCCAGTAATCTGGCTTCTGATTGGAAGGGAGTTCCCAGAGCTGAAAATGGATGCTTGCCGGTTGTTCTTTTGGACCAACCTCTGGGCTTCTGCTGAAGTCCATCGTGTTTCAACCCTTCTCTCAACATGGTAGTAGCAGATAATTTTTCTGACTTCTCTATCAGTTGAGAGGGACTAGGAGCAGCAGATGGGAAGCTTCCTTGAATACTTACTTGAAAATATAACTCTCTTATAGAATCCAGCGATTGCTGACATCTACACTGAACATGCTCATCAAGTTGTTGTTGCCAAGTATGCTCCCAGCGGCTTCTACATTGCATCTGGAGGTATGGTATTCTACTAGTATCCATGTCTGCATAGTGCAATCTTGCTGTTACCAATTTTACTTCACATGGGGTCCATTTATAATCTGTGGTGGAAATCCTATGCCATTTTGGGTCATAGATTTCAGTGGGTTGAAGTGTACCTACCTCAGTATTGGCTTGTGGTCTACAACATTGCTTGATTATTGTCATTGAATGTGCCTCTCTTAAGATGGTACTATGAGGGCTAAGAGACTGAGGCATGAATCTGGAAGTCTCTAGTTTGAATCGTGAGTCTGCCACAAATTCACCAGATAGTTGTAGGCAGGCCACAGCACCCACCTGCAATCTGCAATATTGGGATAGTGAGACATAACCGTCTTACAAGATTGATACAGTATAAGGATTTCAAGAAGAGAATGTATTTCAAGTCCTTTGAAAACACTATAAAGCAGGCATGGCCAAACTTGGCCCTCCAGCTGTTTTGGGGCTACAACTGCCATCATCCGTTGCCTTATGAGGAACGGCTAAGGGAGCTGGGCATGTTTAGCCTGGAGAAGAGGAGGTTAAGGGGTGATATGATAGCCATGTTCAAATATATAAAAGGATGTCACATAGAGGAGGGAGAAAGGTTGTTTTCTGCTGCTCCAGAGAAGCGGACACGGAGCAATGGATCCAAAGTACAAGAAAGAAGATTCCACCTAAACATTAGGAAGAACTTCCTGACAGTAAGAGCTGTTCGACAGTGGAATTTGCTGCCACGGAGTGTGGTGGAGTCTCCTTCTTTGGAGGTCTTTAAGCAGAGGCTTGGCAACCATGTGTCAGGATTGCTCTGATGGTGTTTCCTGCTTGGCAGGGGGTTGGACTCGATGGCCCTTGTGGTCTCTTCCAACTCTATGATTCTATGATTCTATCCCTAGCTAACAGGAACAGTGATCAAGGATGATGGGAGTTATAGTCCCAAAACAGCTGGAGGGCCAAGCTTGGCTACCACTGCTCTAAAGCAACACATAAATATTTGCGCCTTGAAATGGTTATGCACTTGTTTCCAGATAGAACTTGTTTGTTCTAAAACTGAGGTCACTTTTCAAAAGCTACAGCAGTTTTCCATTTTCCGCCATGAATATGAGTTTTAAACCCTGCAAAGTGTTTTTGCATATAGTATCAGGAATTCTTCTCCTTGCCCCATCTATTTCCCCAGGAGTGCAATACTCTCAGCTGTTCTGCCTCAGATGTTGTGAATATAGCTATAGCTGTTCTGGGCACACTCAGCATTAAAAATGGATTCTGTGAGCGCTATATATTATGCAAATTAAGCAGCTGGTCATGGGGGAGGAACAGGGCACCCAAGCTCCACCTCCTACAAGTTAGAGTTGTTGCTTGCTCCCCTTGGCTAGTAAGCCAGTGCTGCCAACATACCTTTTAAGTCTCATATTCCCAACCACAATGGCTAGAAGTTTGCTTTTATGGAAAGGCCAACTTTCAAAAGAGAACATTGTTCACACATTTTGCAGTTGTGTAGAATCACAGAACACACAATACCCAGGATATAGTTAATTTTAGATTCAATACTTGGGGACGGGGGATGTAATTTCAAGAGATGTGGTCTCTTGCGCTTCTTAATACTAGCTTGCGCTTTACTTGATCTGCATCTTAACTCTCTCTAGACCTAAATTTGAGGCTTAGTTAATAATAACCCTGTGCGTGGTGATTTTCAGTGGAAAGCAAAAGTAGATGAATCCCTGTGCTGAAGGCACTTGCAGTCTAAATTCTCAGAAAAATAACTTGAAGAAGCAAACTTTGGGGGGGGGAATGCATTTTCCATGTCAAAGATAGTTGTACGCTAAAACTGTGTGAATGTTTAGAAGCATGTGAACATGGTAAGAAAGCTTTGAGCTGGCCTAGTTCCCATCAGCAATATTTGACTTTGTATTATCACAGACTTTAATCAGTGATACGTGGTTTCTTATGAATTCCTTTGAAGTCCATAAAGAAGTAGCATTTTTCCAAAAATAGTATATTGGTTTTTACTGAGTTTCCTCTGAATAAGCACAATCCTAGGGACCAACAGACATTGAGAATAGAAAGTGTGATTTTGCCCAAACTCCATACATTTCACAACTTCCGGTAGGACAACTGCCCTGTATCAAGAAGAGGAATTGCCTTCCAGCAATGATCTCCAGCCTACACTGATATCACTGGAAGTCACACTAGCAGTTAAAGGCCCTTTGCTGCTTTCCAACAGTATTGAGAGCCTGAAGAGTTTGACTCCTCTTATTCCTGGCAAGTGCAAATGCCTTGGCTGGTTATGCTATTATGAGATGCCTTTGAACATGGCTGTACATACAGAATTTTGTTTGTTTGCTATCTTTCCACAGTTAAAACCATGCTCAAGGCAGCTTACAACATGAAAAAAATGTAAAATTACAAACTTAACAAGTAGTCATAAACAAAAAATGTATCAAAAAGTACACAATGCAAAGTTGAGCCATTTCAACATAAATCGTTAAGAAGATCTAAAAATAAAGATACAAAAATTAATATCAACAACAGCAACAAAAGCCCTCTAAAAACAGTACTCCAGTCCAAGAGTCTGTTCAGCAGCCTCGGCTTTTATAGCTGGAGTCAGTCCAGGCCAGGTGGAAAAAGCCATGCAAGGCAGGGATCAGGTTTTCCAGGACTCTCAGCCAAGATCTCAACAAGATTTAAACATGGCTGTAGCATGCAAGACTTCATACATGTGCACCTCCACTCCATTGGAGGGAGGAGGATTGTGTCCATTCTTCTGGGATTCTGTCTTGGCTTACTGGCATTTGCAACCCCATTGTCTAACTTAAACCTAAAATCAGAAGATTTGGCTATTTTAAATGTGGAGGTTATTCTTGAATAGTATGAATTTGTGCAACCAGTGATTAATGGGAAATAATCTCTTGGTAGATTCTGTTCTTTTCAGGCACTGCTGCCTTTCTCTACTGAGCTCCAAACCGTGAGAGAGATAGAAATGACTCTTATTTATTGAGTATTCTTTCAAGCTCCCTGGAGAGCTTGGAGACCACCTCCTTATTAGACTTCAAGATGCTGCCTGCACAGTGATATGGAAATGAGAACCTTGGTTTCACAAACAAGTGCCGTGGCCTCCATTTTAGCAGACAGCTCTTGCATAGACCAGGAAACCCAAGGAGGAGGTTAAGCAAGCTACTGTCAAACAAGAAAGATACTGTGTTGAATTGCAATGGCTCTTCCGGGTTTTTTGCAGAGGCCTTTGGACAATCAAGCACATTTTGGTTACTCGGTGCATGATTTTAGAAATAATAGTCCCAATGAGGTTTTGAAAGGGGACTTTAGAAATGAAGAAATGCATGCATGCCTTATGAACAATGCAAACACAAATGAACACTTCTTAAAAAATAGAGGTAAAAAGCAATTGAAAATTAGATAATACAGCTTAGCATCTTGATTTGGGTATAAAGATATAAGTCAGGTATGAAGATGGAGGGTTGGATGGGTTGGAATTTATCTTGTCCTTCTGTGTAAGGGAGGGGCTGAGATTCAGTGGAGGCTCCCGCAGAAGGTGAGGAAGGAAAGATAATTCTTGCCAAGCTCTTCCCGCAGTCAAGTTTTCAGGAGAAGGTATAGAAAATCTCCTAGGCAAAACCAAGAGCAGTGGTGTGCACTTAAGCCCCGCCTGAGTGTCCCTAGGTGTGCAGGCTGCTTTTCAGATCTTTGTGCAATAAGTGCAAAGGTCTGAAGAAGATTTTAAAGTCTCCCAGTAATCCCCTAATAAGTCAGGGTCTACACTCACAGAGAGGCCTCTAAGTGGTTCAGTCGAACATGCTTAAATCCTCTTAAGGTTTTCTGTGCTAATCACATGCCAGGAAGTGTTGCAGGCGAGACTTCTGCCGGTGTCCCTGCCACATCCTTGGTTTTGCTTATTGCACATTCAGGCAAATGTAGTCAGCACTGCACACAATCAAACACCTGCAGTTTCTCCACAAAACATTTATAATAGTTGCCATGTCATTGTCACTGTGGTTTGCAGAAAGAGTTTAGCATTCCTAACATGCACACTGGTAAGTTCTCGCACGCCTGAAGATTTGAATGTGGCAAAGTGATGGCCGTGCGGCAACTACGTCTTGCTGGAATGGTGACTATGTGTATTGCTGTGCTGTGACAGATATTTCCGGGAAGCTAAGGATTTGGGACACCACGCAGAAGGAACATCTATTGAAGTATGAATACCAGCCATTTGCAGGAAAAATAAAAGACATTGCATGGACAGAAGATAGCAAGAGGCTTGCTGCTGTTGGGGAAGGAAGGGAAAAGTGAGTAGAGAATCAAAGTAATTTTTTTGCTCATTCCTGCAGGAGAACTTGGCTTATTCTTGTGTTTTAATTTCCAGATTCACAGTTGATAGCTGATCATTTAACAGCTAGAGATCTTTTAATAGCTCACATTCTTGGAAACCATTTCCACAAGGAAGCCAGAGGGTTTTTAAATGGCATTGAGCAGCAGTAGCAAGAGTTTTACACGTGTAGTGGTCCTAGTGTTATATTCTTGGACACAGTAAAGGATCCCACAGTCCAAGGAAACCTGCATTCAAGCACCTCCTACTGAAAGGGCTTCTTAAAATTATTCTCCAAAGCCCTGGAATGCAGCACGAGAAGGGAAGCGTTGGCATGAAAACTGCTTAAAAGGTACAAGCATCATTGTCTCCTCTTTTTAAGCTCAGCCTGATCCTTAAAGAGCATTTAAGATTATTAACATTGATAATCTTGATGGAGAATGGCCAGTTTGTAGAGCTTCTCCCTGGAATGCAAGGCTGCTACTGCCGCCGGCATCTCAAGGCACAGAACAAAACAGAGTGTCAGTTTTATAGAAATAAATGCCCCTCAGCCCACACTTCAGCAAAGCTCCAGCCAACCACTTCTTCAGAGATCTTTCACCTTCATGGTTGCAGTTCTGCCGCAGAGTAGTCTGAGGTGAATGTATTTACACTGTGTTTCATCCCATGCCTTGGGATGGCATAAAACCTCTTTCTTCCCTTCAGTGGAGCCTCACAATGTAATGCAAATAATAACACCTTGGAGATCCCTGGCCTCGACCAGGGCCAGGGCCTTTTTGGTCTTGGCCCCGGGCTGATGGAATGCTCTGCCACAAGAGATCAGGGCCCTGCGGGATTTGACATCTTTCCACAGGGCCTGCAAGACGGAGTTGTTCCGCCAGGCTCAGCCTGACTCCCCTTTTCTTTTAGTATAAGAACTAATATGAAAGAGGCCTCCCAGCATTCTCACAGGCCCATATAAGATCAGCGTAAACAGTTGGGCCAATGAGCACTTACTGTTCCCAACCCTAACCCTGCGGAAAGCCATCTAATTAGACTTTAATTTGATTTTGACCTTTTTTAAGGAGGTAATTCAATTATTGTTTGATTTTATACCAATGTTATATATCTAATGTAACCGCCCTGAGCCTGACTTCGGCCAGGGAGGGCGGGATATAAATAAAAGTTTATTATATCTTTTTCCTCAGAATATTTGTATGGCACTTAGAGTTCACGCATAACTAGAACAGCAGTTTGTTCTTACAGTCAGTATAGATGCAGGGAACTCACTGAAAATAAAGCCCATTACTGCTTATTTGGCAGTACAGTTGTACCTTGGTTCTCGGACAGAATCCATTCTGGAAGTCAGTTCGACTTCTGAAAACGTTCGGAAACCAAAGTGCGGCTTCCGATTATCTGCAGGAGCTTCCTGCGCTCAATAGGAAGCTGTGTCGGACGTTCGGCTTCCAAAAATAGTTTGCAAACCGGAACAGTCACTTCCGGGTTTACGGCATTCGGGAGCTAAAACATTCGAGCTGTTCAAAAACCAAGATACGACTATAAATAAAACTCTTGCCAGTTCAGCTCTTGTATGACATGGCTTGTGTGTTCAAATGATAGGAACAGTCTCTATAATTCAAAATAGCTTCAGATGACTGATTCTTATTATATTTTTGTTATTTCAGTTGTTACAATTGTGTTTTAATTATTGGTATATTGCATTTTACCTTATGTGCACTGCTCTGCATGAGGGAAAGGAGTATATAAATAAAAATACTACAGTGTGTTGCTCCTTTATCTATCAGTACATGAAGCAAGTGCCCTATTTCGTTACATTATTTGTTTATGCATAATGGGCAAAGGATTTGAATGCCATAGGGAACGAAGCTAAAACTGCACAAGATTAACTGGGCGGTCTAAGTTCTGTTGTGTAAATCCACTCAACGTGCTGGCTGTGCTCAATACATTAAGTCCTATATATAGTCCTCATTGTATGTGACTTGATTTGTTGTTTCTTAATAGATTTGGGGCTGTGTTTCTGTGGGATACCGGCTCTTCAGTAGGCGAGATCACCGGCCACAACAAAGTGATCAATAGTGTGGATATTAAACAGACCAGACCATACCGCCTCGTGACTGGCAGTGATGACAATTGTGCTGCTTTCTTTGAAGGACCACCGTTCAAATTCAAGTTTACAATAAGTGTGAGTTGTCATTCTTTACCACCTGTGTGCCGTCTGTCTTTGAGATCCATCTCTCTCCCCGTTCCTGCACAAGCAGAGAGCAGCCTCTTTCTCTTTCTCTTTCTCTTTCTCTTGTGTTTCGGGGAAGAGGCAGCATTGCATTTCAGCGGCAGCCCTTTGCACTTCATGGTGATGTTGGAAAGTGGGAGCTTAAAATCCTCGTGTGCAAGCGTAAGATCACCCTTGCTATCATGGAGCCAGCACAGTATTTTTCAGAATTACAGCAGGTCTAAAGTCTTGGGATTCTAGAGCTTTCTCTGCAATTAAAGCAGGATTGCTTATCTGCCCAGGGAGAATGTTAAAGATTTTAATAGCTGCAAGCAGTTGTCTTTGCAGTGCATGCTAACCAGTGCACAAACCATAGCAGATTCCATTCTTACTTACACCTTCCTTAGCCCCTTCGCCTGTTACTTGCATGAAGGGGTTTCCACCAGTCAAGGGCAGTGGAGGCACACAGCTTCCCCTCATGGGTCTCAAGGAAGCCTATCCACCTAGTGAGCTATGAATATAGGCTTTCCTTCTCCAGACAGCCATAATTTGTAGGCATCAGGGAAGGGTCTGGGGAAAAGCTGTGCAGCCCACTGCCCCTTGACCACACGAGCCCCCCTTCAAACAGGCAAGGTGTCTGTTGCTACTTACATTTTTTTTCACGCATGGACAGTGGCTGAAGTAATCTCTTGGAGACACACCCAGAGAAGGGCCACTTGTTGACTTAGGGTAGTGATGGCCAAACTTGGCCCTCCAGCTGTTTTGGGACTACAGTTCCCATCACCTCTGACCACTGGTCCTGTTAGCTAGTGATGATGGGAGTTGTAGTCCCAAAACAGCTGGAGGGCCAAGTTTGGCCATCACTGACTTAGGGTCTTTGTTGCCTCATGTCAGCAGAGGGGTTCTAAGTGCTTAAAACAAGCACTTAGAATTGGGCTTGGGAACATGTGCAGTTGTGCTGAGACTGCTGTTACACAGTACTTGAAGTAGGCAGGATTTGAGCTGCTTGCACAACCCACAGCAGGCTAATGGTGGAGACCAACGAGCAGCACAAAATCAGCTGGAGTAACCCGTTTGGGAATTGATGTCCTTTTATATATATATATATGTTTCTTCTATAGGATCACGGCCGGTTTGTTAACTGTGTGAGATTTTCTCCAGATGGAAATAGATTTGCTACAGCCAGTGCAGATGGCCAGGTAAAATCGAGCCATTTCTTACCTTTGGGGGGCGGGGCAGATATGCCTCTAGCTAAATGGAGGGTCTGCTTTGAGTGTCAAAGGTCCCAGGATCAGTCCCTGGCATCTCCAGTTAAAGATCTCGCCTTGGAACACCAGGAACCTAGGAGTGTCATTGCTGGTCATAAGAGATAATGTGGAACCGGATGGACCAGTGGCCTGGTTCTTCATAAAATACTTTTCCTCTGGAGCTAGCACAGCAGTAACTGTGCCAATATTTGTGGCACTTTAGGTTCTAAGCAAAAAAGGGGTTGCCTCTCAGGAACTGGTGTTCCAGAATCAATGCTGGAGAAGGCAACAGAGGAAGGAGAGGGTGAATAAGGCAAAAATTAAGATTAACCTCAAAGTCAGACAAGTATAAAAGTATTGGCCCCAAGGTGGGCAAATTCCATAGTATAGTAATAGTAATAATAATAATTAATAATAATTTATTATTTGTACCCCGCCCATCTGGCTGGGTTTCCCCAGCCACTCTGGGCAGCTTCCAACAAAGATTAAAAATACATTAAAATGTCACACATTAAAAACTTCCCTAAACAGGGCTGCCTTCAGATGTCTTCTGAATGTCAGGTAGTTGTTTATCTCTTTGACATCTGATGGGAGGGTGTTCCACAGGGCGGGTGCCACCACCGAGAAGGCCCTCTGCATGGTTCCCTGTAGCTTTGCTTCTCGCAATGAGGGAACCACCAGAAGGCCCTCGGAGCTGGACCTCAGTGTCTGGACAGAACGATGGGGGTGGAGATGCTCCTTCAAGTATACTGGGCCGAGGCCGTTTAGGGCTTTAAAGGTCAGCACCAACAGTATAGGGCAATAAAATTATCAAGGTCAACCAAGATGTCACAAAATAGTGGGCAGACCTTTGGCTACCAGCCTAAGAGTTCTGGAGATGAAAGATGGGGGAAAGTAAAATGTGGATTGGTGTTCAAGCCATGAAATCTGCCTCAGTTGGGATGCTGGAGGAGGTAGCAGAGGCTCTGTTAAATGCTATGTAGGTTTCAGATTACAACCGTTGGAAGAAAGAGCACACAATGGGTGAACCTTCATATTGGAGAGCATTAAAAAAATATTCTCAGATATGGAGGGTCAGCCATCTTAGGTTCCTTTTGCTTTTACTGGCCAGAATTATAGACTTGATTGTAATGCAAACTACTTCCTGAAGGTAAAGAAACAAGCATGACATTGATTGCCTTAACCCAGAGGCAACGCCACACGTAGCATTTTCCTATATTTCAGATGTTTGGATCCTTTTATACTGCGTTTCATTAAACACGTTCCATTGCTTTCTGATCTCAGTAGTACACTGTTTGAGTTTGATACTTAAATATCTGCCTACTTTAAAGAAACTGCTGGTGTTTCAATATGGGGGGGGGGGTTAAGTATGTTTAACTGCTGCCAAAAAACCCCAAACCCACTTAACTGATACTTTGTCTCATTTTCGGTTTTGAAAAGATATATATTTACGATGGCAAAACTGGAGAGAAAGTTGGTGCGCTAGGAGGAAATAAGGCACATGATGGAGGCATTTATGCAGTAAGTATATTGGGGCTTCCTCCTCTCTCTCTCTTTGACCAGACTGTTAGGTTATGTTGATTTCCACAGGCATTATATGGATCTGCTTTTCTTGCAACAGCACAAATCGTGTCTGATTCCACAGCACCTAAGGCTGCCTCTTATGCTTATGTAAGTGTGACAGAGTTGCTCAGTCCCTTATCAGGCATGAAGGAGTTTCTTAATTGAAAAACCCAAGAGGTGTTATGCCAACATTCACTTTCTTTTTTGGGGTTAAAGCTTCAGCCCCCAGCCATGCCAAGAGCAATGGGCATTCTTGGCAACGGTGCTGCTGGAGGATGCAGCTGGGTTCAAGGCCAGCAAAACGCTGTGAGTAGCTGTACAAGGTCTGATTTCTGGACAGTCCCTCTAGATTTTAATCCAGGTTTGCTAAAAATTTGGTTCCAGTTTTAGGCTGTGGTATTTCGTTGGCTTGAGTTAGATGGACGGCTTAAAAGCCTCTTGATTGACAAGTAATCAGGGAGGCAGGTTTGTCCCTTAAAAAAAAAATATACAAGTACTTTGAAAAACCAAGGACAGAGGAAGCCACCTTTGAACAGAGATTCTGCCTTTTTTCCCCAAGGAGGGGGTGTCTGAGATGATGCATCACTATGTGGGGGTTGTTGTTTTTTAAGTAACAGACGTTCTGAAAGCGATGCTTTTCATTGTAAGATTTCTTTGGGATGCTTGTGGAATCTTCTTCTGATTGATTAATTCACGAAATGCTTTTGAGTTCAACTTTGCATTCCAGAATGGACTCAATTCATTTCTGATTCTTTGTTTCTCCCAGAGCTGTATTTACAGAATTAAAAATAAGCTGTAATCATTACAGGAATAGCTTTTAAAAAATACATATTCATAATCCTTCCTCCAGAGCACAATAATAGATTGTGCTAGAAGGAATAATAATAAATAATAATAATAATAATAATATCAGTTATTTCCTCTTGAAGTTCTTCTTTAGCAAATACCCATTCTGCTAGAGTACAATTGAAAGCAAAATAATAAACATTAAAATAAATGGAACAGTCTCATATTGGCGAGTCAGCTTGTCTGCATGACGTCTTCAAACTCGCCATCTGGGGAAATGTGCATGGGAAACAAATATAGGCTGTCTCTGGTATTTAGGGCGAGCCTATACCTCTAAATCCCTTTGTTTCCTTCCAACAGATTAGCTGGAGTCCAGATGGCAATCGCCTGCTTTCTGCTTCTGGAGACAAGACAGCTAAGATCTGGGATGTTGGTGCTAATAGCGTTGTGAATACCTTTAACATGGGATCAAATGTTTTGGATCAGCAGCTGGGTTGTCTGTGGCAAAAGGGGCACTTGTTGACTGTCTCCCTTTCTGGCTACATCAACTATCTGGATGAGAACAATCCGGATAAGCCCCTTCGTGTCATCAAGGTCTGTGGAATCATTGAGCCGGCTCTTTCGAGTTTCCTAATCATGCACTGCTAGCATTATCCGTCTGTTTCCAACAGAAATGAGTGTGGTTGTGAAGACCCATTTAACAGAAAGGCTGCTTGAGCTACACTGTGGATGCTCCTGTTCGGTTGGCTACACTGTTTTGTAGTAGTACTACAGTGGTACCTCGGGATGCGAACAGGATACGTTCTGGAGCCTCATTCGCATCCTGAACGCAATGTAAGACGCATCTGCGCGTGCACGGGTTGCGTTTCGCCGCTTCCGAGCATGCGCATGATGTCATTTTGAGCACCTGCGCATGCGTGAGCGGCAAAACCCGGAAGTAACGCACTCTTACTTCCGGGTTGCCGTGGAGTGCAACTCAAACGCGCTCAACCCGAAGCACATTCAACCTGAGGTATGACTGTAGTAGTAGTAGTAATTGGAATAATAGTATTTTATTTTATTATTTATTTTATTTATTATTCGTACCCCACCCATCTGATTGGGTTGCCCCAGCCTCTCTGGGTGGCAAACGAGAAGTGACTTTACTTAATCCAAACCAGCCAGTTCTGAACAATATGTTCAGTGCTTGCCAGGTGGGAGGATTCCTGGTTAAATCAGAACAGAATCAACACTTGTAAGATCTCTTAGTTTGGGGAAAAGGTGATCTAAGTGCAGTAAGACAATTGCCTCTAAATATGGGGGGGGGCATTTCAGGCAGTAGCTAGCTGTGCATCTGCTTCTGAATGCCAAACCTAAACAGCAGTCCGCCTCCCCCCCCCCCTACCCAAATTGCCACAAGCACAACCCTCTTTTTAAAACTGATGGAAAGTTCTGTTGCAGTCACATCTCATGGGCGTGTATTGTTTCAAGGGAAGGGAAAGCCCCTTGGAGTTGGCATGCGGAACATCCCAGTGTATGTCCGCCTGACACCCCACCATTCTTGGCCACCTGAAAATAGCCGTTAATCTTAAATGGCTCTGTCCCTCTCCTGTCCCTCCCCTTTCATATTAGACTGCTTACATCATTCCACCTCTTTCTCCCCTTTGTAGCCTTTGGCACAGTCTTAGTCTCCTACATAGAAACTAAGCCAAAATATTTGTAGCTGAACAGGGTGCATAGTCTGTTGTCTACTTTCCCCCACATCATAATTTGCATTGTAAGCTTCTCGGGGCCTGTAATATATAATAGGATAATATTTGCCCTGTGTTTTTGTTTTTGATAGACTATTTTAAGGATAAGACAACGGCTTGGAACCAATTCCTCTTCTTCCCCTGCCCCAGAAGCGCATAGCAGAGGGTTTGTGGGCTTGTCAACTTTCCCTTTTGTCTATTATCAGAGGAGTTTGAGGTTAGGCGAAGCTTTCCGGGGGGGGGGGGGGTGTTCTTCCCAAAATCTGTGCAAAGAAGCCCAGATTTGGGCAGGAAGAAACAAGTGGGCACAACGTGCTGTGAGTAACTTGAGCTGCTGTCTGTGTAAATGTAAGAGTTTTTGTTAATTATGTGTGCTTTCTTTCAGGGTCACAGTAAATCAATACAATGTCTTACGGTGCATAAAAATGGGGGGAAATCCTATATCTACTCTGGAAGCCATGATGGGCATATTAATATCCTTTGAGCAACCAAACAATGTTTTTTTGCAGATGAAAACTCCCTAGTGCTGTGCTGCTATATATGGCTGTCTTTCTTCCCTTTCTCTTAATATTTGCTACTCACTGAAGCATTCTTGGCATGCAGGATAGTATTAGAGCACAGTTCTCATTTGAACTGCCAAATGAAAGCCTTATGGTTATCCATCTCGCCCACTGAGGCTGCTGTTTTCAGTATAAGTGTCAGTACAATTCTTTGATTTGGTTGGTGCTTTGAACAAAAACTGCCCCACACAAAGATGGCACTGAATTTCACATTGCCTTTTTTGTGCCATCACCCAAGATACTGTGCTGGCTAGTTTCAGCGAGGCATCTTCAGAAAGTTCTACAGCAGAGTTGCGTGCAAGTTGCAACTGGGAAGAATTCTCTGTTTCTTTGCAAGCCATGCGGTTTAGTGATATGTGTGCTGTCCTAAGCATAGCACAACTTAGGAATTGAGTCGGTTTGATTGTTCCTTGCAATGAATGTTGGGTGTCATGCTCATCCTGAAGAAAATTTCCTTAATATTTTGCTCACATTATTGGGATTCTGAGACAGGGGAAAATGACAGCTTTTCTGGGAAAGGACACACAAACCAGGTTTCACGAATGGCTGTGGATGAGTCGGAGCAGCTGGTCAGCTGCAGCATGGATGATACCGTGCGGTACACCAGTCTGAGCAAAAAAGACACCAGGTAACGTGTGTGTCAACCTCCACACAAATAATTTACTTTTAGCGTAACACAAAACGACCGTGCCAAAGTTTCGGGCCATCTAATTCTGCTGTGTTAAAGCACTATATCAGAAAACCAGATATCACAAGCAACTTTGGTTGTTCTTTCTGCAACCAACATTATCCTTGGTCGGCGCTATAAAAAAGCACCAGTTTTACACTGGTGAGCAGATGGGATTGATAATGCGCAATGGACAGTTGTGTTTCTCATCTTATATAGCAAGTTAAAATATCAATGCAATGTAGGAAAATAAATATGAAGTGTCTGAGAATAAAATATTCTCCACCAAATGTGTAAGAAAAATATAAGCTGCTGCTCAAAATATGTGGGATGTGCAAAATGTTCTCGGTTGCCCTTTAATGTGCTCTAAGTACCAAATGCTAGTTCATTTTTTTAATTGGTGAAGTATATTGCACCTTGACTACTACAGCTTTCCGTTGTCCCACCTTGGTCCCTTTACATCTACCCTGCTGCCCAAATTGCCCATCTTCCTGATAACAAAGTACCACTCCTTAAATCTCCATGCTTCGTATCTGCTCTCAGGTCCTTTGGTTCTGTTCTTGCCAGTGATTTCAGCTCCTTCAGCTAAGGAAAAAATTCTCTCCTTTTTCCCTTTCCTTTTTCAGTGGCCAGGATGTTATTAAAATGGATGTTCAGCCCAAATGCATTGCAGTTGGACCTGGTGGGTACGCAGTGGTGATATGCATTGGAGAGGTGCGTATCAGGAAAAATGGATTGTATTGTAATGCAATATAGGACTGTCATCCTAACCCCACTTACCTGGGAGTAAGACCCATTGACTTCCATAGGACTTACTTCCGAGTAGATGTGGTTTGGATTGCGTAATAAGTTTCTTAACCATAATGCACACTTTAAAACTTGTTTTGAAAGTGTAGCAGGTTATTTCTACTTGGATTTCTCATGGTGCTATTTAAAGTGATATTTGGTAACTGGTTTGTAGTGCTTGGATGCAGAAGCGTTACTGGGTACTGGAACGAGAGCACAGGCTGATGACATTATTACTGAGGCGGGCGGGGGGGCGGAGTTTATGCTATTTTACACTGATGTAAATGCAAGCCAACTTTTTTTCCTTTTTTGAGGGGTGAACAAACTCTTGCTGCTGGGCTTGCTCTGTCGTGGCAACACACAGAAACACACACATGCTCCCTGCCACACCCATTGAGCTCTTACATTTGCCTCTAGGCAAATTAAGGTTGTGGGTGGCTGTGTCTCATTGGCACTGTGGTTTGCAGTGCGTTAACAGGGGCTGCAGGAATCGAGAGACACATTGGCTGGCTTCACGGTTTTCCCACATTGTGATTTTTGCATATTGCGCAAGCAGATACACACACACATCATGTGTCACGATATATTGCCAGGTCAAAAATTATGAACCCAATATAATGATATGGAGTATGATATATCTATATATTGCCCAGCCCTATAAGGCAGCAATAAGCAATGCCTTCCATTTGCAAGTGTCTCTCACTGCTCTGGACATGTGAAGGGGTCCTTTGGACTGAGTGGGGAAGCCTCCTGTAGCATGTAGTGGGACATAATTTTCTAGGCAGTACCTCAATGTGATTTGCATACTCCTCGGATTACAGATCGTTCTGATGAAGGACAAGAAGAAGTGCTTTGCAATTGATAACCCTGGCTTTGAACCAGAAGTGGTAGCAGTTCATCCTGGAGGCGGCATGGCAGCCGTCGGAGGAACAGTAAGGGTTTTATTTTCCTCTTTAAGGTAGCCTTTTCTGCTCATTAAGCACTTGGCAGCTCCCACAGTGTGGCAACACTTGTGGAAACATTTTCAGTATAGTAATTTCAGATGCTCTCTTAGCTTCAGCTCTAATTATCCCGTAAATTGCTTCTGCCATTTGCCCTCCTCTTTCTCTCCAATAAATGTGCTGTTCCTATACCTTAATAACGGATGCAAAAGCAGCAATTGGGTGTGAACTGTTTCTGGTGCAAGGCTTGAGAGAGGTTTCTCACCCATGGCAGTAAAAGATCTGAAAGCCAGCAAGGCCGTTCTGGGCACTCTGAGGAGAGCTTGACTCTTGCACATATTTTAACTTCCAGGATGGAAAAGTGTACCTGTATGCAATCCAGGGGACTTCTTTAAAGAAAGAGGAAAAGACGCTGGAAGCAAAAGGTCCTGTGACTGACTTGGCGTATTCTCATGATGGTGCCTTTCTGGCAGTGACCGATGCAAGCAAGGCGGTCACGGTGTTTAGCGTTGCCGATGACTATGCGGTAAGCAGGACTTAGTTCTGTTTTTTGTATACTGTATTGTTTTATTGCTGTGGCCGATGGCTGACGCAAATAAAGATTCCTTCATTCATTCAGTGTAGAAACCTTGCACATAGATCAAATATCCCTCATGGGCAGGTTTATTTAGTCATAAAAATGCTGTTGAAGCAAGACTTAACACTTTGCGGGGTCTTGCAAATACAAATGGAAAACAACTTAGTAAGTGGCAGTGGAAGAACTGAGTGCTGTCCTAATTAATTTATATTATTAAAGCCTCTCTTGGAATCTGTTGCCCCTCTTTAGATTGAATTGGAATTTATTCAGTAGTTCTTGCATTGGGTTTTATTAGTTTCTGTGCAATTAGAACATAAAGAGCTTCGATTTTTTTACCAATGGTTAATTCATTTTTAGGATTAAAAATCAGTGATTGTCTTACTTTCACTTTCTCAATAGGAGCATAATATTTTCTATGGACACCATGCGAAGATTGTTTGTATTGCCTGGTCACCAGATAACGAGCACTTTGCTTCTGGAGGAATGGATATGATGGTTTATGTTTGGACAGTGAGTGACCCAGAGACTCGAGTTAAAATACAAGGTAACAGTATAGCCTTCTCATTACGGAGAAATCTAAAGTGCTGTGTTCATCGTTAATTGCATTCTTGGAATAACAGAAGTTGGGGAATAGTGTTTTTGAGGGAAATCACGGGGCTAAAATTATCCTGAAGGATGAAGACTTGTAAACAGATTTTTCAACATCAAGGCCGCAATTCTGCCTGATACAGAGCGGCTGCTGTTAAGCCCTTAGTGTCGCCACTTCTTCCCCTGTCATGTGTGCTGCCAACTCCTTCCAGCGGCTCTTGCCTGTGTGTTGGGGTCTCCCAACAGAAGTGAAGTCATGCATAGGGGCTGAGTGAGGGGGTTGTGCAGGTTGGTGAGGCTGGAAGATGAGTCTAGAAGAGCCTTGAGTAGAAATTAAAGACCTGACCAGTGTGTTGCCATCACACTGCGCGCAAGAATGGCACAGGGGTCCCTGGTGAGCAAACATCAAGGGTGCTGGGAGGGGAGTTCATCCACAAGCCCTGGTATGAAAGGTATGTTCCTGCTAAACTTTTTAAGAGCAAATTTGGAAAGAGATTGGTTGCATCAATTTACCTTTTCTGTTGCTTCTGTCAGATGCCCACAGATTACATCATGTAAGCAGCTTGGCGTGGCTGGACGAACATACCTTGGTAACAACATCTCACGATGCATCTGTCAAAGAGTGGTCCATTTCCTACAAATAAAATGCCTTCAATCAGGAGAAGCTCATCAGGGACTAGAACTACTGGAGTGGAATATAGCATTTCTCTTCCTTAAAAATATACAAATCTGTCACGACCTCCAGGGTCCTATAGCATATTCTCATATCTTTGCAGAGGATGTTTGTATCTGTAATTAAATGACCTTTGAAAAGCTTTAGTCGGTAATGCTTTGCACTTGAGAAGCACTTAAATTATGTCTGGAGCTTGCAAAATCTTTTGTGTGCTGAACATTCCAGGGTCTGCAGCCTAGCAGGTCGGCATAAAAGAGTTTAAATTGATTTGGTTCCTTAATTTTTAATATCTGTCACACACACATACTTGCACATGGTATTGTACAGCATGAGAGTATTCTCATTTTTTTCTAACTGCAGAACATTTCTGTACTAACAGTCATAGTAAAGAATGCTAGTTGTGATCCAAAAATGAATTGTGGTGTGCAGCTACTGTATATTGGCTTGTCTGTAATGCACCAAATTGTTGCCTCAGATTTCCTTCACCAGATAACAAAGTGGGGTACGTCCATAATAAACCTTTTCTGTATTTCCTGTCCAGATTTGTAGTTATTTTTAAGATGGAAATGTGGGGTTTTGATGTATTTTGCCATTCTTTTAGTAATTAAAGTTTACAGATAAACATCAAAGGCATTTTTTTCGGATATACCTTTGTTACCTTTTTGAACAAATGAGAATACTTGATCATGGTTTGTTGTTTGGAAATGAATGCTTCTAGATCTGCTTTAAATATACCTTCTTTCCTAAGGAGAAATATGTCTATGTAAGAACATTTGCAGTAATTATGAAAACGCCTTTTTCAGTACAGGAATTAAAGTAAAGTAAAGCAATTACTGTGAGTTGAACTGATCATTACAACAAACGGCAATCTCTAACACTGTAGAAACAGAAATATTTCTTCTGAAGAGACCTTTCTCCCAATAAAGAACTTCTGTATGTTTTATCTCCTGCTTAATACAGTTTGTGGGGTCACATTTATTTCATTGGCGAAAATGAGATTTCTAGGACTGTATAAACCTCCCTTCAATCTTTCTCACATGTTTGCATGTGCTTGCAAGTAATGCGAAACCATGGTTTAGCCTAGGACTGGGGAGCCAGTGGTTTTCCATTCATGGTTTACTGCTGCATGAATGAGCCCTTCATAAGCCTGAGCAAAGCCTTGACTTGCAAGTCTCCTCTGCTCCACAGGCCAAGTACAGTTTTGCCTTCTATAAATCCCAGAGCTTTAGGAGCCAGGGAATTCTGCTTTACAACAAGCAGTGATTTGTTTCTGAACATGCCAGCTTCAAAACACGGGTTGTGAAGCTGGCTCATTAAACAACTACAGAGTGAGTCCATTTTGGATATTTTTCTTCTGCTTCTGAAAGCTGGGTGGGTAAAGACTTGGGGTTCCCCACTTTCCCCGAGCAGGAAATGCATGGTCAAGAGGGCAAAACAGGTAATTGCAATCAACATCAACCAGAAACCGTCAGCTTGGGAGTGGGATAGGATAGGACAAGAAAGTATAGAGCCCATTCCCCCATTCAGACACTTGAAGTTAAGGAACTCTTATGGGGGGGGGGGGAGCCGTGTGAGAGAGATTTGGCTACTGCATGAGAAACTAAGGAGGAAGGAAAATTTCTTATGGGGAGCATTTTGAAATTGTGGCATCATTGTGAGGAAGTTTAACTGCAAGATTCCTTGTTTCTAAAGCCAGTTGTAGCAGCCTGCCACACGCTTCTATGCTGGCTCGTTTCAAGCTACTAAAATTCTGCTAATATTTCCAGATGTGCAACCTGTCCAGCTTCACCAGACTGCCTTTCATGCCTCCATCTTCCTTGTGAAAACAATGCAGCTGTCTAGGAATGGTGGCACTTTCCATTCCCGATGGGTGTACCTTTTTTTGATACAAGTGTTTCCAAATTACTGGTGTCATACTCACTTTCAAGTTTACAGCTTGTGCATACCTATCCAAGGCAAGTATCTCCTTGGAGGATACATATTTCATGATAATTCATCAATATTTAGCCTTTTCTCAGATTTTCATATCACAAACACATTTCCTTAAATGCAGCGTCAGTTGATGGCTCTCGGCAGAGGCTGCCAATGCAGGGAAAAAGGGCATTCTTAAGAGACTGATCTTTCAGATGCTACTTGCGTTTCAAGCTAGCTGTTTTCTAAAGTGAGGTGAATTAAAACTCACATGGGAGACAGGTTTGAGAAGTGCAACCGAGTGAATTGCTGACCCACTGAACTTAGTGCTGTTATACCACTTCAAACAAAGAATTGTGAGAAGTTAAGGGGGTTGATGATGATGATGATAATAATAGCAATAGTTGTTAGGCTACTCCTCTTCCTCTCTGGTTTACAATTGTGAGTGGTTTAATCTCTTCACAGGGAACTCTGGGAATTGCAGCTCTGAAAGAAGAACAGGGTTCTCCCAACAACTTATGTCATAATCTGCTATCGAAGCCAGAACACACTTTCTTTTTCCAGACTCAGACTAACATAGCTACATGTATACACTTTGTGTAAACCATGGGTAGGCAAACTATGGCCCGGTGGCTGGATCCGGCCTAATCGCCTTCTAACTCTGGCCCGTGGACAGTCCAGGAATCAGCGTATTTTTACATGAGTAGAATGTGCCCTTTTATTTAAAATGCATCTCTGGGTTATTTGTGGGGCATAGGAATTCATTCATTATTATTTTTTCAAAATATAGTCCCCCCCCCCCCCGCTGAAAATGTTTGCTGACCCCTGGTGTAGACTCCTTGCATGACAAAACCATGCCTTGCACATTGGACGAGTGTATTGTGGTACACAGGTCTGGCACGAAACGAGGAGTGTGTCTTGCCCCTTAGGCCCAAGCTACATGTTATGGGGAGTCACATCATCCCTGGCAGGTCTCTGCAATGAGGGAGGAAGAAACTGGGAACAGGATGGGGCAGCTTTTCTTTCCAGAGGGGAAGGGAGATAATATCCCTTAGCCAACCAGGGGGTAAGTTTGAAGGGGCAAATGGCAGGGAAGAAATGAGGTAAGCAATCACTGTCCTCTTCTGGTCCACTGTCACCTCTTCTACATACAGTGGTACCTCAGTTTACAAACTTAATCTGTTCCCGAAGTCCATTCTTAAACCGAAACCGTTCTTAAACCAAGGTGCGCTTTTCCTAATGAGGCCTCCTGCTGCCAGTGCCCTTCCACTGTTCGGCTTCCATTCTTAGACTGAGGTAAAGTTCTCAAACCGGGACACTACTTCCGGTTTTGCGGAGTTTGTAAACCGAATCGTTCGTAGACAGGACTGTTCTTAAACCAAGGTACCACTGTACTGTGGTGACTTACGTATGTTGGCATCCCACCACCAGATGGCGCATTGGTTCCACTTGGTTTAACCCTCTTGCACTGCAAGAATTTGAATGAACAGACCTAGTGAGTCCTCATAATAAGAGTTGTGCGGCAGTACAGTTCTGAGTTCGTTATGTTCTTGGATTTAGCAACCTGAGTTGCCCTGTGGTTTTGTTGCTTAACTAAATAGCTCCATTCACTGACCAACCTTGTTATACCTGCCCCCATAAATATAGCATAATTACCTACATCCTGATTAAATGATCCCAATAAAACACGGGATTCTGTCTCAGTGGCAATAATCTGTTTGCTGTTCCAGTTCTTAAGCAGGGTCACATGTCTTTTCCGATGTGACTCCACTTGTCCCTGCAGTAATCTCCCAGCATCCTGTCTTATGCGTGGGGCATTCAGGAGCCTCCTGATCACAGCTTTTGCTCTGCGCTTTGTGGGTGGTTGAAAATGATTGTTTCCAATAATGCCATGTTGAAGTTCTGCTGTTTCCCAGTCTTCTTTATTTCTTCCCTCCAGTGTTTCTTGCCCACATAAGTAGTGCTTATTTGTGCCCACAAAGAGAAAAGTAGTAACAACAAAAAAGTTCAACATAAGGAGCTTTTGTTAAAAGTAAAAAAGAAAAGAGGGGGGGGAGCAGAGGTGAATGAATACAATTAGAAAATTATAAATGGGGTATAAAAATCACAACTTGGCCTTGTACAATGAAATAGAAAGGAAAAGTCTTGCCTATTTATAGACAAGCCCAAATAAAATCAGAGGGATTTGCTACCTATGTGACTAAGTTGTCATATATACTTAATAAATACCCCTCCAAAAAAAACCAACAGGTGGAATCAGAAGGATCAGCTACACTTAAAAAAAACACCCAGACTACAACAAAGTTTGCAGTGGTACACAACTATTAAAAGGTGATTAGAGCAGGGCTGAATTAAATATTATCGTAAGTATTCTACAAGATGTATCTCCAGCCCAGTTGGGACTTCTGCTTCAGGTTTAGTTTATTGATACTGTATTTCCTAATATGAAGTGTGTGTGTTGTGTGTTGTGTGTTGTGTGTTCTCTCTGTGTGTGTGTGTGTGTGTGTGTGTGTGTGTTGTGTGTTGCTGCCTACAATGACCATCTTAGAATGCTCCTGTGATTCTTAACATGATGTTGAATTCCAGCTATCATCACCCGCAGCCAATATTTATTATTGATTTAACGAATCACTATCCATAAAACTTCCTGAAGTGATTTGACAATAAAAACAAGTTCAAAGCTGATACAGATGCGGGGGGGGGGGGGGACAGACACAGGAGCGGTTGCCACAGGTGCAAAATTGTTAATGGGTACAAAATTTCAAAACCTGGTGCTGCCTCAATACAGCTTCGTGCTTCTGTCACTGGGCTCCATTGAAAACAGCTTCTCCATGAGAACCAGGAAGTTACCTCTCCCGACAACGGAATGACTCTTCTTATCTCTGTGGCTGCCATCTCCTGGATGATGTGGATGCTGTCAGGCAGTTGAATGCGCATGTGTACTCCGTTCCCCAAATCCACGTGGCCCAGGCACTGGCAACACATGCTATGCTACTGGTGCCAGGCAAATATGTTTTTGTTCTCCCAGGCCTTTGGCTGACACCAATGATTGGACTATGG